ATATATATATATATATCTATTATATATCTATATATCTATATATATCTATATATCTATATATCTATATATCTATATATCTATATATCTATATATCTATATATATATCTATATATCTATATATATCTATATCTATATATATATCTTTATATATATATATATTGATATACTTTATTTATCTATATATATCTATATATATATATATATATCTATACATCTATATATCTATATATCTATATATCTATGTATCTATATATCTATATATTTATATATCGATATATCTATATATCTATATCTATATCTATATCTATATCTATATCTATATCTATATATATCATAAGGCCTAGCTATTGGAGTTATCAACCAACTTAGCTTAGCCGAACTGGGGTACCCTGAGGCGCAACCATGGGTGGATTTTTGTCCCTGAGGTGTGCAGATTCTGAAAGCCACCAAGGTGCCAGGGTACCTTGATTGGCTGGGCAATTTTTATGTCATGGGAGATTTGGTGTGCTTAAGGTATCTAGAATGGATAGATAGATAGATAGATAGATAGATATATATATATATATACTGATGGTAATTGAATTACTGAATTTATCTGAATATATCTGAATATCTTAAATCTCTTTTTGTGAAGCTGTCCAAAGGCCTTTGATGGTTTAAAGATTAACTAAATATATTATTTTATATTCTTTTGCTGGCTTCCAATAGGAATGCTGTGGAAATGGGAAAGGGGCTGGTACTTGTAGCTGAGAGTGTAGCCAGCTATCGCAGAAGCCGCTGGGTGGACACCAAAAATGGTGTCGGTAAATGAGCCAAGCCAGCCAATAAAGTTTCTTTTTCTATAGGGATTCCAAGTGGGAGATAGTGGGAGATTATAATAACCCTGCGCCTATTCGTTTTGTCTTCCATGATCCCCCATGAGCCATTTTTAGCTTTCACTCGCAAACTCGATATATAAGAGGAACAAACATATGTGAATGATCAGTGTCCAGACTCTTGAAATCCAATGTTCTTGATCGTTCATCGTTCTTTGCAGGTGTCCAACATTTCTGTCTTTTTCGGTCATTGAAATGTGCCACACAGGAACCCTATGGAACCCTGTCCCGCCAGGATAAGTTGAACGTCTTGGAGCGATTGCCCTTCACCTGCTCCCGTGTGTTCGGAAGTCTCAGGATTTTTGGCGGGGAAGGTGAAGAGAAATCTACCCGAATGTCTGGGAGTGAAACCTGAAAAAAGTCGCGATTCTAATCCAACTTATGAAACACTTCTTCGAATTTACAAGAGTTGTGGATTAAACCTGAAAACAACGTGTTTACATTTAAGATTGTGGTTTTTACCTGGAAAACAGGGGTTGACCCTGAATAGATTGAAAATATCACGTATTAAGAATTGTGATTCTCCACCTCTACGGACGATCTGCTGGTGAAGAATTTGCTGTGCAAAATTCACCAACTTCTGGTGAGCAGTCAGAACCAAACCACTGGGAGGATAAAGGAACAGATGCAAGAGAGCTTCCTTCCATCGAGAGACTCAATAAAATCACAGCCGCAGCTTGTTTTGAGTGTGATGAACTCGCATGAATTCGCAATTCTCTGCTTTTGCAATCAGCATTATCATTGGTGACAGCTTATTGTTTTTTTCTCAAAACCACATTGTTTTGCCGGTGAAAACTTGTATGTTGTTGGTCAAAACTCTATGTTTGCTTCCTTAAATTCCGATCTACGTTGGTTCAACCAGCATGTTCACTACTGTACTATAACCACCATGTATTTGCTCTTTAAATGCTAATGCAACCTTTAGCTTGTGAAATCCGAATTGTGTAGCATCAACCACCATTCTGTGGCTGCTGAAATCCATTTTTAAGTGAATAGATGGTTTTTTGATGTTTCAACAAATGTTGAAATCGCAGCAAACATGGATTCAACCTATTTTAATGGTCATGCTAGTCAAATAATCCTTTCCTTGTATTAAACATCACATAGGGAACGTGTGAATCTATTTGTCATTTGAGGGGATATTTTTTGAGTGATCGGGGGATGAGATTAGTAAACAAAATAAGCATAAGATCCAAATGGAAGCAGTGGCATTAACATCCCTACTAGTAGCAGAAGAACACAGCAAATATATCCCACACATATGATCAGTTGATTCCCATAATATATATCCATTCTGAACCATTGTAGCCCCAATATATCCATCAACAAAAAGACATGCTTTTCTGCAGGGAGTTTTGGTTGATATAACCAAGTATACTCTTGGATATAATATACTGACCAAAATGATTATTATCCAATAGGGGCAATCCCATTACTACTGGTTTTGGTTATAATATCACCAATTATACTATTGGAACATATTGACCAGCGACATTGGTACCATGAAAACAACATTCCATGGGGATGGGTCAACACCTATTACAATCTTTATTACCAAACTGGTGGAAGAACCATCCATGAACCTATACATTAACCAGCTATGTTTTAAACCATCCGGCTACGTTCTTTGGAAGAAGTTGTTTCATATATAAATATGGGCAAGGTCCTCGCTTTGGAACGCGCCTTAACGCATCGCATTGGAACGCGCCTCATCATCGTGATCATCATCACCATCAAAAACCACATATATATATGACATCATCATCATCATCATCATCATCATCATGATCATCATCATCATCATGAACTACCGGGAAGGTGGGGGGAGTTCAGGCTTTTGCTGTCCTGCCTTGGGGTTGGCTTGATTCTCTCCTTTGTCCGTTGTCTTGTCTTGCCGTGCTGCTTGCCCGGGTTTCCTTCCTCCCTCTCAATTGTGCTGGGGCCTCGTTTGCTGTCCTTTTCTGTTCTTGACAGTGGAAGTGATGATGTAAGTAGAATGCTCCCCCCAATTAAACCCTAAATGGCTGGTTGTGAACCCCCCCTCCCGCCCCAAATAAAGCCTAAATGGCAAGGTAGTTGAGCATAGTAAATTCCAAGGTCAGAGAGTAGTAAGAGCCATGACAGTGGAAGTGATGATGTAAGGACTAAATCTCTCATTGGCATCGTTTTTTGGTAGAGGCATCGCTTTGGAACGCGTGAGTCTTCCAAAGTGCTGCGCCTGTCAGCAAATCTGATGTTTTGTTTGTTGGCTGTGGTCTGAAGTGATGTAGCATTTTGTGTTCTAAAGCTATCCAAAAATGGCTGTGTTCCAAAGTGATCCTTTTACCGACCGTATACATACATATATATATAATTATATATATATATATAGATATTATACATATATATATAGATAGATTACATTAACCAGGTTATTCACAACCATTAACCAGCTATGAAGAATCAGAAGTTCTTGGATCCCAGGCACGACTGCTACTACTTGGAGCCCTCCGCCGAGTTGCCCGAGGAAGCGCCCGTGAGCGCCGCGTACGAGGCGAGCTCGGCACTGAGCTCAAGGTTTTTCCTGGGTCCTTGGTTAGATACTTTAGTTATTGAACATGTACATAATATTGTATGATTATAATGTAGTGGCTATAGATACTTTAGTACTTTAATCTTTTGCTGTCAATCGTAAAATGTACATTCACCAGCAACATTCACCAGCAAAAAAAGGATTCACCATGTTTTCGGAGCGTGACAAATGAGGAAAACTGGGGATAGAACCTAAGCTTTCCGGTAGTTTTACTAGTTACTAATGGCGTTTGAAACGAGAACACTTGCCAGTTTTAGAATAGATTTGACCCAACAAAAAATATGCTCGACGATCCTCGACGTAGCAAAACGGGTATATAGACCTCAAAACCTGTTAAACACTGGGATTCCAGCGAGGAAGATGAGGTCTGATCAAGCGGGGTAATTACCCACATGGGTTAACATATTGGTGGTTTTTGTGCTGGATTTATTTACGGACCATGTATGGCCTAATGACTTTCAAAATCCAACTATTGAAGCAGGCCCTCTGACAGATTCCTCAGACTGATTCCCTCGACTGATTCATCTGCCGTTTTCTTGTGTACATACCGTATATGAATTTTCCCAACAGCTCTTCCATAGCATAATGGGACAATGGATCTATATTTTTTTAATCTAATTTTGGATTGAAAACATGTTAAGTAGTGTGCAATATTATTCAATTAACATACCAGCGTCTAGCCTTGAAATACCTGAAATACACAATATTGCCGGGAAACAACTTGTAATAAGCCAGCAAATGGGTAGACTTGGGGGACATGCACGAATCGATATTTTATGGTTTTGTCTTTGCTTGACGACCCCCGGTCCAGCAGATGATCAATCTTGGTGGAAATTGAATTTTGACCCATACCATACATACCATACCCTCTTAGGGTAAAATTGGACACCAATGTTGTTAACGTGTTGCCCTTGCCTTCGTAGGTCCGAGATTAAATCATCACCTCTTGGTAGGTACAGAATAGCCACAAGTTGCAGAACTGGGTATATTTGGGGTCTTGGGAGCAACTCTGATACAAGTAATGTGTTTGGATGGATTTTAATGACCTCAGTCACTGGAATGATTAGCCAGGGGAATCATCCCCGATGGCACTATTTAACTATTTTAGCATATATTTAATCTACACTAGTTTCAGCTCAGTGAATCAAATTATGATGTTAGTGCAGAATACACAAGCTGCCCCCGTTTCAATGTTTCAATATCATGACTAACCCTGGTCTCCGCTGCCAGTCCTTCTCTCCTGCGAGCAGTGAAACTCGCTGTACAAATGAGTTTAGGCTGGGGCGGTGGGGGTGACTCGCCTAACTTTTTTTGACGACCGACTCCGACCCCCGAGGAAAAAACAACAGGCCGGTACAAAGCATGCTCAGTTTTCGGTTTCGGCCGGGATTTTGCGAGCATCTTTGAACACAACGATATATGAGATAAAGGAATAGTGAAAAACAAGAAGCAAAGTGGTCTTGTGGAGCTCTAGGGTAAGCATAGCTGCAACCAACCAACTGCGCATCGTGAAACACGAGAGAATCCTGCGGATTGCTTCCTCTTTTCACGGCAGGCAGATGCTGGTGGATCACGGCATTGCACCTTGACGTCATGAAAAACCAGATCCACATGGCTTTGATACGTGTTAAAGGGGCAAACCCACCAATTCATACCAATTCCAATTCCGATTTGAACATCATCAGTTTTTCTTTCCCATGACACTTGTCATTTCTGGGGGAGATCCCTCATTTTTTGCACATCTTTGGGGAGGCTGGTAGAAGATCCAAAAGATCTATGGGGTTTTTTGGCATTATCATCTCGATACCAAATGGGCTGGGGATGATGCTTGATCTCTCACGCGGGACATGGAAGGCCCTTCCAGCTGGGAGATGTTTTTTCTTTAAAACTACGATCATCCCAAAGGGTAAAAACTATAGCCAACAAGGAGTTTTTCCCGAATGCGTAGCGAAGGGTTCCCGTTTATAGTCTGGGGGTCTGGGGGCTGGACCCTTGTTCGCCTCGAGTGTCTCGTCGGGTCGTCGACGGGTCGGCGTCGCGTCGTCGTCAGGTCGTTAATTCCGTGTCTATGGGGGAAGCTGCAAAACCTGTCCTTTTGGAATGTTTCCAAGCAGGTTGTCATGTCGTTTTGCGTGGCAGGCGTGGCACTTTGTGACATTCCAACCTGTTTGATCACGTGTCGAAAGTGTCAAAATTGGAGGATGTCTCGCACGAAATGCTCGTTTTGCTGCGCCCACGTGTCTCCTCTCGAGTCTATGGTTTTCCTGTGGCGTCGCCGTGTCTTTGGGGGAAGCTGCAAAACCTCTCCTTTTCGAAGGTTTCCAAGCAGGTTGTCATGTCGTTTTGCGTGGCAGGCGTGGCACTTTGTGACATTCCAACCTGTTTGATGACCTGTCGAAAGTGTCAAAATTGGAGGATGTCTCGCACGAAATGCTCGTTTTGCTGCGCCCACGTGTCTCGTCTCGAGTCTATGGTTTTCCTGTGGCGTCGCTGTGTCTTTGGGGGAAGCTGCAAGACCTCTCCTTTTTGAAGGCTTCCAAGCAGGTTGTCATGTCGTTTTGCGTGGCAAGCGTGGCACTTTGTGACATTCCAACCTGTTTGATAACGTGCCGAAATTTCTTTTGTGTGGCTGGCGCAACAATGCACTCCACATTTTACACTCTACACTTTAAACTCCACACTCGACACTCCACATTCTACACCCCACACTCCACACTCTACACTCCACACTCCACACTCCACCACACTTTACACACTCCACACTCCTCACTCCACACTTTACACTCCACACTCTACACTTTACACTTTACACTCCACACTCCACACTCTACACTTTACACTCTACACTTGACACTCTACACTCAACATTTTACATTTTACACTCCGCACTTTACACTTTACACTTTACACTTTACACTCCTCACTCCACACACCACACTCCGCACTCCACACTTTACACTCCACACTCCACACTCCACACTCTACACTCCACACTCCACACTCTACACCACACTCCACACTCCACACTCTACACTTTACACTCCACACTGCGCACTTTACACTCCACACTCCACACTCTACACTTCTACACTTTACACTCTGCACTTTACACTCTACACTCCGCACTCCACACTCTACACTCTACACTTTACACTCTACACTTTACACTCCACACTTTACACTTTACACTCCTCACTCCACACTCTACACTCTACACTCCACACTCCACACTCTACACCACACTCCACACTCCACACTCTACACTTTACACTGCACACTTTACACTCCACACTCCACACTCTACACTTCTACACTTGACACTCTACACTCAACATTTTACATTTTACACTCCGCACTTTACACTTTACACTTTACACTCCTCACTCCACACTCCACACTCCGCACTCCACACTTTACACTCCACACTCCACACTCCACACTCTACACTCCACACTCCACACTCTACACCACACTCCACACTCCACACTCTACACTTTACACTCCACAGTGCGCACTTTACACTCCACACTCCACACTCTACACTTCTACGCTTTACACTCTGCACTTTACACTCTACACTCCGCACTCCACACTCTACACTCTACACTTGACACGCTACACTCTACATTTACAATCCACACGTACACGTGTGACACTCCTCACTCCACACTCGACACTCCACACTCTACACACACTCACACGCTGACACTGACACTCCACACTTTACCACTTTACATTTACACTCCACACTTTAACTTTGGCACTTTACACTCCTCAATCTCTCTCACACTTTGCACTTTACAATCCCTCACTCCACACTCCACACTTCACACTCTACACTACACTTTACACTCTACACTCCACACTTTACACGTTCCACTTTACACTTTACACTCCACGCTTTCCACTTTACACTCCTCACTCCACACTTTACACTTTACACTCCGCACTCCACACTCCACACTCTACACTTTACACTCCACACTCTACACTCTACACTCCACACTTTACCCACTGCACACTCCACACTCCACACTTTACACTCCACACTCCTTACTTTCCACTCCACACTCCACACTCTACACTTTCCACTCCACACTCCAGACTCTACGCTTTACACTCCACACTCCACACTCTACACTTTACATTTTTCACTCCTCACTCCTCGCTCCACACTTTACATTTTACACTCCTCACTCCACACTTTGCACTCCACACTCCACACTCCACACTGCCCACTTTACACTCCACACTCTACACTCTACACTTTACACTCTACACTTTACACTCCACACTTTACACTCTACACTCTACACTCCACACTTTACATTTTACACTGTACACTCCTCACTCCACACTTTACACTCCACACTCCACACTCTACACTCCACACTCCACACTCTACACTCCACACTCCACACTTTACACTCCACACTTTACACTCCACGCTCCACACTCTACACTCCACACTCCTTACTTTACACTCTACGCTCCGCACTCCACACTCCACACTCCACACTCTACACTTTACACTCCACACTGCGCACTTTACACTCCGCACTCCACACTCTACACTTCTACACTTTACACTCTGCACTTTACACTCTACACTCCGCACTCCTTACTTTACACTCTACACTTTACACTCTACACTCCGCACTCCACACTCTACACTTTACACACTCTACACTCCCCACTCCACACTTTACACTCCACACTCCGTACTTTACAGTCCACACTCCACACTCTACACTTTCCACTCCACACTGCAGACCTGGTAACAGGGGAAATATGAACAAGACTGTTCAAATAAACTATTGCAGAAAAGTTTTCTGCGTGACTGCATATCCATGTGTTTCGACATCTGTACCATTAACATACCTGTGAGCATTCGGGTTCGTGGGCTGCATCTTGTTTTTTTTCAGAAGTTCCTGTTTCTTTCAAAATATTTATTGTTTGCATATTTCAGCACTCAGCCCTCACAATATATTGAGAATTTTTGAAATATATTGAGAATGGCAGGGAAGTCTGAATCGGCCTCTCACATGCTGGACTTAGGATATCTCCAAGTTCGGCAAGGGACAGGCGATGGGACGGATATCGAACTTAGTAATGTTTCAACTTCTCCATAGATATTTGGCAAGTCATCCTAGAGTGGATCTGATGATTTGATATGAAGAAAAAATCATCATCAATAATCCACACCTGGGAATGTGTTTGAACATGTCACAGTCTATCTTACTTGAGGCCGATGATATCTACTTATAATATGATAATATTAATATGTATCATGTTTTTTTCTCAAGACATGATGTATTTTTTGTCCATTGCCATGTTTGATTGCAGGCGGGTAGAAGGAACAAGTTATACCTGGATACGGCATCGGGTGATCTTGTAAGAAAATACAAGTGTCACGTGACTTTTCCGAAAAAACAAAAGTGACTAAACACCTCACTGTAGGAACACAGATGATTGTGATTTGATGGCCTTGAAGAGATGAAACTTTGCTGTGTCTCTCAACTGTCTGGAATTCTGATGTGTTTCCATGCATGTCCTTTGTGTGACTCTGAACTGTGAAGAGTGTTGAAACTATGAGGAATTGGGTTTTGGAATCCCAGTTACAGGGGATGAACCCTCTGGAGTCATGGAGTAACTGGATTCAAACTGTGGATGGTACATGGTACATTATTGTAATGTGTTTTATTCGTTTGGGCCATTTTGATGGAGGACTTTGATCCATTTTGATCCAATCTCCCGAACTATAACCTTTCACGCATGCTGGTGGAATGGTATTTGCGTGTTGCTTGTTTAGTTATAAGTTGGTTCACAAATCCGTCAAACTGTAGATATACCCACCACAAATCCATCCATCAGCATAGTTGTAATATGTTAGAAAGTAATTTGCTAATCCGTTGGGGGGCCGTCACATTTCGCCATTCTGTGGTATTTTTTCAGGCGAAGACCCTTGACGAGTTGTACAGAAATGTTGCTGTCCCGATCTCGGCAGGGACTCTGACCGGAATTGGCCAAAGTTCGTCATCCCACCGTGAAAAAAAATAAACACCCCAGTTGTTGTATAGTGCTGGTCACAAAGATGTGTTCAAATTCCCAGTGATTACCAGATCATACTGGGGGTTGTTGAATATCTTAGGGGGACTGGATCCAATCAGCTACATATTACCCCGCCCATACCGTGATTTTTTCGAGATGGACAATCCGAAGATCATCCCTTTGGGGAGGGGGTGGACGTTCTGGGAATTTGCTGCCTCTAAATCCATTGGTTAATCATGATCCCTATGTTGATGGCTATTTGAGGGGTATAGCATGTATAGCCCATTTTCAGACACAGCCATATTGAAAGATTGTAAATGCGGGTGGATCACCGAGCTTGTTCATCAGAACTCTGTGGAAGAGATTGAACATTGGTACTTTGCTGAATCCGTACCCCATCCAATGTCAATCACAATCAACCACCGCCATATGTTTTTCTCTCAATGTCGAAGATCAGGGTTTATCTGAAAAAAAAGTATTTATCCCAAAATTCATTGGTAAATTGGTAAATCATCGGTTGCCTTATTAATATAGCCATTTTGGGGGTTAAGTTCCCCATTTCATGTTCAGACACAGCCCGATAGTTATGGTGAGTTATATATAATATATCCATTACAGTATATCCCGCTGAAATTCCCATTAACTTGATGCTTAAATCCACCATTGAATCCCCTAACAATTTTAGTTTTTACAAACCCAACAATTACCCTCTGGTAATTTAACATAGCTATGGAAAATCACCATTTTCAATAGGTAAATCAACTATAAATGATCATTTTTCAATAGTTATGTAACAAATTACCAGAGGGTATCATTGGTTGATTTGTATACTATTCTATCCATTAAGTCCCACCAACGAAGTTGTTGCTTTCCAATCCCCCCTTTGCGTTATATATCCCCTGAGATCGAAAAGAAGTCCTACTTTGTGGACAGCAACAACACCCTCGAGAGACGGATGGAGTTGGTCCGGCACCCCAGACAGTTGGATAGCGAACTGGAACAGCACCATTTGTTCAAGAGGTGATGTGGAAATAAGCCATATTCCATATTCATCCATATTCCATATATGTTCATTTAGTTCCATGATTTTCTGAATACCTCCAGCTGGAGGATTTCCCAGCCCGAAAAAGATTGCCAGTGGGTCAGTGGGTATTGTGTTTTTTTGTTTCAAGTCGTCTTGGTTATGTTTATATAATATTACAACATATTATAACTTCTACAAAGCCCATGCAGTTTTTGGGGTACCCATATAACTTTTCACATGTTTTCACCCATTCGAATCCCCCAAATCTGTAATTTGAGCTGATGCCGACATATAAAGATAGTATACAAACCAACAGCACTTTCATGGATCCACCAACTTGATTACCAAGAAAAACGACATGTCGTCGTGATGAGGAGTCATGCTTTGTAGATACGTCGAGGTGAAGTGAGGTCCCACATCTCAATCTCAAAGTCTGATGACGCCTTACGTTGAAACCAGAAAAAAAAAACATGTCGGACACGACACGACTTCAAAAAACATATTTTTAGGGTGGAAGAAACATGCGAAACGCTGAGGTGAACATTTGCCTCACTGTCACCAGTCGGGAGAGCCTGGTTGAGCTGTTGGGGGTAGGATCCGCCATGGTGATGAAATGCTTCAGCACCGGGATAGATTGGGATGTAAGCCAGATACGAACAAAAATCCGCAGAAGTTGGGGCTTCCATCCCAACAATTGGTCTAAAACCCTGATCTAAAACCCTACTGATCTAGGGCTGGTCTTCGCCATCCTGACTGTGAAAGATCTCGGTTCCCAAAAATCTTTGGAATCCGCCGTAGAAGCCACGGGGTCGAAAACGCTGGGTGTTCCAGTGGTCTACTGGAGTCCAGTTCCTGGAGCTGTCGTATCCGAGCACCAATATATTCTGGCAAAATGGGGAGCTCTACTGTCAGTCACTGAGTTTTCAAACCGCATTGTAGAAAAATATATCGAATCATATATAGAATATAATAATATATATATATATACATACATATATTTATCCTAATCATATAGAATATCTTGCCTTTTTTGGTCTTTTTGCAGCTATGGGCCATATGGGTTTGGGGTTTCAAAAAAGTCATAGGGGATCCATCCATCCGCCATTCGGATCCAACAGGTTTTCCACGTCGTCAGGTCTTGAGGGGAAAGAGATGGAACTGAGACTCAACTGCGAAGTGCTGAAGGCGGATGGGATGGGATTGGATGGGATTGGAGTGTCTAAGGTTGAAGAAGAAATAAGAATTGAATAAGATAGAATTGGTCCTATGATATTATGGAAATATATGGAAATCAGATGAAGTAAGTTTGTATGTAGGGTAGAATCAGGTAGAATAAGACTCTAGAGATCATGTTTTGAAGAAATCAATTCGACGCATAAACAGGTAGATCAACTTATCATCCACCAATACCGTGGCTGCTTGGTCACATTACCATTCCTCCAGGACTGAACATCTACATATAGGTCGCAAATCGTGAACTTTAGTGAATTAGTGAATCCTGAAATATAAATATATATATATATATATTACAATAAATATGTGTTTGATGCTAAGTTTGGGGTTGAACATTTTGAAGATGGACCCAGATCCAGTTTTGACAAACCCGCGGATGTTTGCCTCACGTTCCGCGAGGACGGCACGTTGGTCAGGAGAGCGGTGAGGGAAACAGAGGCGATGAGCAAACAAAACGGGAAATTCAACCGACTTAAAACGGAAGGTACAAAAGCAGGTCACCATGAAGTGACTTATTGTGATTTGGCATGATTTAGTCGGGATGTTCCCGGTTTGGTTAATTCATGGATTTGACAGACACGAGAACAAAACAGGAAAGAGTGAACAAAACAGGAAGACCACCAACTGAAACAGTTGATAACATATAGTTGACCAAAATTGAGCAACACACATGTGGTTGTTGAAGCAAAGACACATTCATATCTCATATGATCTATCTAACGAAGGAACATTGTAACATGTGGATCTTCAACCAAAAAATATGTGGATATTGAACCAAAGGAAATTTGCGGTGGCGACCTGCATTCATCATGAGCAGGTTACTTGGCCCAGTTATGTGTATTGAATTAGATAGCCCATGAATACCCTAATTATCCCCATAAACCCAAACGTGAATCCAACTTATGTGCGTCAAGTTAGGCAACACAAATCAACTATAAATCCATAAATCAATCCGATTAAAACACTATGTTTCTGTGTTAAAACCCATTTTTCATATATGTCTTCGTAAACAGCGCCTTGCCTTGTATTTACCCTACTTACAAGTAGCTGTTCAAGCTACTGTGGTTGGCCTTGGAAAAGATATCCTTATTTGCCCGGGGGTGCACATGATGGCAGAGAGGTTCTCATGTTCACTCATTCTCAGTCTATGTTCACGGTCTTAGTGAAGTTGGATGCCAAAACATGGTTTATCATCCGCCTTCAGTTGTTGGCTCGATTTTGCAGAACTACAGTGATAGGACGTTAAATGATGATAGCTGGTACCAACCTTTACAACAATCCGCACGCAACCCAGAACCGTCAAGTAGCCAAAGTACATCAAAGTACCCACGACCGACATTCGGTGTCCTAACCTACTTGTTGGGTATGTCATTCCGAACTAGATTGCAATGCATTGCAATGGTGGTAAATCCAATATAATCCAATCACAAACCATTCCCAAATACTACCAGAAATGGATTGTATAAACCCTCCCATGTTGATCCATGTTGGAGGTTTATGGCATTGGGATTGCCTTTTTTCCCCACCTGCCAGGTGAGGGTTGTTAGATTTTATCAGAGCTGTTCTCCTCCTCCTCCGCCTCCGTGGGCACTGCCGGACCTCAACCGCGAGCTCCAGATCCCAGTGGGCACTGCCGGACCTCAACCGCGACTTCCAGATCGCAGTGGGCACTGCCGGACCTCAACTGCGACTTCCAGATCGCAGTGGGCACTGCCGGACCTCAACGGGAAGAAAAGATGTCAGATAGAATGTCAGAAGATATGCCAGATAGAATGCCAGAAAGAATGTCAGAAAGAATGTCAGAAGATATGCCAAACAGAATGTCAGAAGATATGCCAGATAGAATGTCAGAAGATATGTCAGATAGAATGTCAGAAGATATGCCAGATAGAATGCCAGAAAAAATGTCAGAAGATATGCCAGATAGAATGTCAGATAGAATGCCAGAAGATATGCCAGATAGAATGCCAGAAGATTTGCCAGATAGAATGCCAGAAGATATGCCAGAACATATGCCAGATAGAATGCCAGAAGATATGTCAGATAGAATGCCAGAAGATTTGCCAGTAAGAAAATGTATAAATGTCATGGTGGGGATCATTGGAAGTGAAGTATTTTTTGTTTCCATATGATTCCACCATGTTTCGCCAGTTTTCCATACGTATTTATATCATAATATATTTCAATATATGTTTGCATCATGTTTGTATTAATATGTATTAGTAAAAATTCCCGAACTAAATGGGCACTTCAACGGGAAATTCATCTATACATGAGAATACTGTAGCAATGGAACATCCACCATTAATATAGTTTCATGATTTCCGCGAACGAAACCTTCATGAAATAAACTTTCTTCGGGGATTTTCGAGCCAGCTACGTTTGATGACACCAGAGGGTAACCATCGACATCGATTCCTTGACTTGGTTGGAGAAATTGGTCAACCAGAATCCCTCGGAAGATATCACAAGATTGAGGGGCTATGATTTCCAGTACTAAAATTCCCATGAATCAGCAGTTAAATAAATCCCATTCCTGAATCTGAAATATTTGCACCAACAGGCACCCCCATACATCGAGAGAGCGAATGGACACTGCGAGGAGAAATCAGAAGCCCTCCTCCTTTATTGAGGAGGGCTGTGGATGGCCATTTGCCGTCGTTGGAATCCCCAAGGATGGAAGCACACCAGGGAATCGTCGACGGTGATGAATTTTTATTAAGTTTACTACATCTTATCACGTCTTACCACATCCTATTCTGGTTGCACAATTGGTGGTTAGTGGTTTGGAACATTTTTTTTTCCGTATATTGGGAATAATCATCCCAACTGACTATTTTTCAGAGGGATTGAAACCACCAACCAGATGGGTATGTAACCCTGATATTACTTCCCGGGATTCTTGGCCTCTATAATGATGGCCCGTGTACGAAAAAAAACCGTGGAATTCGTTTCAGAGCTTCATGGACGTTCGTATGTCTCAACATGTCTCAACCTCACTAGTAAATCTCGACCATAAATGGTGATATCATCAAATAAATATAAAATACTGTGGATGGAAGAAATCCTGCACCACCTTGGATGGTTGAAACATGTTGAAACCCTATAAATAATGGGATGGTTACCATCTATCAACTGGTGCAGAATTTCGCAACCACAGTATGTCATCTCATTTAAGGTTTAAGGGAAGTACAATTTGCCCGAATAATTCGATGCGGTGGTGAATTTTACATTGCTGTCTGGAATTTGTCACCCCTGCAAACCACAGGAGCAACTACTGTAACAACACTGGTGGGTTAATCCATCTTAATCCCAGAAGATTCCCAGAAATGGAGGTGCACCTTTCCCTGATTTGCTTGTTTTGATATGTTTTAATCTTTTGATGAAAGGTTGCTGATTTCAGATTATTCAACGCTGTTTATCCGTGAAAAGGGTGCTGTGAACTAACTACACATGATGTATCCACCATGTTGGGCCCAGATCTGGCAATCCCTTTGATGCGTAGATTCAGACTCAAATAGCCTCCTGTGTCATCAACGACTGCAAAACCCACCAGCATTTAGTGAAAATGATTTTCCCAGCGAACTAAACCTCCATATATAGATATTATTTAAATATTATATAGATACTATTGAGACATTATTTAGATATTATATAGATATTATATAGATATTATATAGATATTACTGTATATAGATATTACTGTATATAGATATTACTGTATATAGAAATTACTGTATATAGATATTACTGTATATAGATATTATATAGATATTATATAGATATTATATAGGTATCATTGATATCATATAGATATTATATAGATATTATAATATAGATACTATATATATATATATTATAGATACTATATAGATATTATCTAGATATTATTTAGATATTATATATATATATATTATAGATATTATATAGATATTATATAGATATTATATAGGTATCATTGATATCATATAGATATTATATAGATATTATATAGATATTGTATAGATATTATATATATTATAGATGATAATATATAGATATTATATAGATATTATTTAGATATTATTTAGATATTATATAGATATTATATATATATTATATATATATATGATATAGATATTATATAGATATTATATAGATATTATATAGATATTATATAGATATTATATATATAATATAGAGATTGTATAGATATTATATAGATATTTTATAGATATTATATAGATATTATATAGATATTATATAGATATGTATAGGGGATTCCCAATTGCCATGTTTGAGTACCAGATGGTACTTTGCCATGATTCATGATGGGGATTTGCATGGATTTGCACTATAACCAGCTACAACATCACTTTATATTTTAATTCATGAATATGACATAATATGAACAACCATCCAATTTATCTTCATACACATCTGACTTTTTCATGGCAGAAAAACAAAAAAAAAAACAACAAGTTGCAGCTCAGCTCGCGGTCCGCAGAGGTCACCCTTCCCAAAGAATCTTGTGGAAACCTCCATGACTGTGTGCGGAAGTGAAAAGAGGATCTTTAACATGAACCCTATTTTTGGGTAGGTTTATGATTTATATATATATGGGGATTATTAATGGTGAATACTGGTGAATCATGGTTTAACTATGGTAGATATGGTAGATATATGAACTATATCTTTAGTGATATAGAACCATAACATGTTATAGTGATATGAACTATCTATATATTTTTCTGGGTAAATTACAATAGTTCACTAACATGAATTAAGGCCATTTGGGGATGATGTCCCTTAACCATATGATATTTACCCAGATATTTCACTACTCTGAAGCCTCACAATCAAAGATCATCCACTAATTATATGTCTTTGATGTGACTTGTATCGGTATTTCACATGATTACATAAGTCAATTTCGCGGTTGCTCAGCTGTGTTTGCCAAAAACACACCGCGACTGAGGATGCTTTCTTCGACCGACGGCTGAAGTTGCCGACAGAGATTCGCAAAGAGTTGTTCTGCGGCTGCAATGGTGACGCCACAAGCTCACCATCAATGAGGGTTAGCAAAGCACTCCAAAATTACCTTATTCATCCTTATTCCAGGTTAGCCTCTGGTAATTAAAAAGTTTGCGAACTGGAAGCCATGACCCATTCAGCTCAATGATGGACCTGTTTGACCTTTAAGAAAAAGACATAGCTACCTTAATTAATTACCAGAGGGTTCGCGTGAATCATTTGAAATTCAGGGGTATGACAGTGCACAGAGCGCTCAAATGATGGTTTTCCCCACACAACTGACTACGAAATATGGCTATAGGATATTCCCTGTTAATCCAGACACTTTCTGAGAAAGATTGAGAACGTACTTAACCCAACTTAACCCCCTAGTTTATCCCCATATACTTTCTTAGAAGGTACGGCTGTATAACCAACAGGGATTGGAGATGCAACTAACCAAAACCAGAACAGCCGCAACTGCAACAAGATGCCTCGGTCTCCGCTCTAAGGGATGCTGTGGGACTGCGATGAACATCCATTCAGGTCACCCAACACAAGGGATTTTGGAGAGTTTGTTCAATATGGAGGAATTGGTTACACACCATTTCTGAACTTCGGATATGGGCCTTGTCCTAGAATGGTGTTCAGTAAATCCATAATCAATATTTGATCATGTCATATTCCACACATTAGACGGTGCCTTTAGTTATCTGTCCTTCAATTCCACTGGTCAATGATGATATTCCCTGTGAACAAAACAATGTGTTGCACCATTTTCTTTCAGACACACCCACCTCAACCTCAAAATTTCAGCAGAGACGGCGCAAGTTGTTGCACTGAGGCTCGCTCAAAAAAACACGGTCACGGACAAGGTGCAGCAAGTCATGTCGACCATCTTTCTGAATGCAGTTCTGGGTGATTTTTTTTAAGGGTAGACAAATAGATTGTGATGTGAATAGTGGGGGAATGCCATAGGAAGTCTAACAGAGATAGTTCGCTCAGTTTGGTGGGTAGACTTTGGTAGATAGGCACTTTTGTAGTGATGATAGTGAATGGGTTTCTTGTGTTTCCCACGTTAAGAAATGCGGTATGCAGGGTTACATAACCACATATGTATAATTATGTATATATAAATTATAATATATAGCCATTCTTTGTCGGCAATGTCTGCTGTACCGGATACGTGGAGTTTCTTTGACGGGTGGTATCTCTGAGTCTGGTGTGAATGGGCTACAACTTTGCAGCACAAGTTCCTGTGCGTGCGTCGAACGCCACGTGGTAGAGCCACTCTAACGAATAATGTATGTGTTCATTTGTAGATTATGTGTTTGTGTATATGGATTTGTCTGAAACTGGGGTACCCCAAACGTTGATGATTTATCATCATGTTCCCTCATTAAATTGCTATTGAAATGGCATACCACATTTTCAGACAAACCCATATGAAATCCATCAATGGCTATTTAAATGGTATACGGTATACCACAGTTTTAGACAAACCACATAAATATAAATAAATATATATATATATATTCTGTGTAAATTATAACGACCTCACTGCGACCTCACTGGAATCATGGTAAAAAAAAGGGAAACCATCCCAAAATTTTGCCGAACTATTCAGGTTAGTGAATTATTATACTTTGCCCATATATATAATGTAAATATTTATATATATATATATTATATATATATATATATTATATATATACATATATTCCTAAACCTACTGAACTTCGCAAGGAAGCAGAACCGTGTTGCGGTACCGGAATCCCGGTGTTGTCCGGCCTTGAGGTGGAACGCATCAAATCCATGTTCTTCCCTGGAGTTGAAACAATGCCACGGCCTCAAGGATGATGATCAGTAGATGTCAGTAGTATCACGTGACACAAAATGATGATCAATGTGGTTAAAACAATGTCATAAACCACCACATGTTTGATGGTTTATACCACCCATTTATGGTGATTTTGGGGATGGTTTATTTACTCACATTATCACTAGTACATAGTCACTATTCTGATGATGTTTTTTACATCATTTATAATGTGACTAGTACCTAATGATTGCTAAACTATTCCTAGTATTAAAACATGTGTTAATAATGCCTATCAAAATTACAATGACGACTACAATGTAGCATTCATATGATTCATCATTAAGTGTTGATTATGTACATGATGTTTACATTATTATATGGTGGTTGTTATAATGATTCATGATTTTGCAATATTATCAGTATCAGTATCATTGATTCATTTTTGGAGGACCTTAGACCTTACCATCCCTGGAACATCTAGCCATAATGTGATGGATAAAGATAGGTCGACGATGAGTAGATTATGCACTCTGTTAATGGGATAAGATATATATATATATGTATACTGTATATATATATGTATACTGTATATATATATGTAGTATATTTGATTATGTGTATATATATACACACCTGTTGAGTGTCTCGGTATTATGATTGATGTCCAATATGATTCATTTTCATGTCCGAGTTGGTTTTCATATCGAAATAATCACCAATTTTCAAATGTTGTGTGTACATGTTTGTACATGTGTGTACGTCATGAATAGTTCACAAAAGTAACACACACACACACAACGTACATTCTGGTATACTAACATAGCTATGGAAAATCACAATTTTTAATGGAACAACTCACTAGAAAGGGGCCATTTTTAATATTAGGTGGTTTCCCAATATGGGTACCTGTTTTTGTCCTAATATGTTTGTTGAGATTGAACACACAAAAACCATGGTTTTCCCAAGATGGTTTCATCCCTTAGCCATTGATTCCATGCTTAGCATCTCCACGTCTCCTCCAGTAAACAATGTTTAAATATCGCATCAAATGAAACAATGTTCAAGACAGACTTGGTCAGTCAATTTTCAACTGGCAAACTGGCTCCCAATTTGCTGTTTTTCTTCTGGGTACCCTCTGGTAAACTAACACAACTATGGAACATCACCATTTTTTATGGATAAATCAACTATAAATGATCATTTTTCAATAGTTATGTAACAAATTACCAGAGGGTATCATTGGTTGATAAATCAACTATAATATTGTTATAACAATATTCAATAGTTTTTTGTATGTTTACCAGAGGCTGCCATGGTTTTTTGATTCACCACGGCAGGTATACTACATATGAGGTGAACATCCACATCCCTGATCCAAAGCGATCAGAATTACAGGCCGAGACGACACCGTGGACACGTGTCGTTGTTCATAAGAAACAGTGGTTGAGTTCAGTGGAAACAGTGGTTTATCATGGTTTAATAAGAAAGATATCAAAATCTAATTTGAGAATTATTAGATGCAGATAGATACAGTGATGAAAACATAAGAATATATAACTATTGTTTAATTGAATATTATTGGGTAATTATTACATATGTTTTAATCATTGGACAGTTGTGGCCACATGGGGAACTGTTGGGCGAAAATAATCATGGCCATCTTGTTTCTAAGATGATATTTCCAATGAGGAGTTCTTGAGGGAAACCAATGGTTTGTGGCTGCGGGGCAATTGTCTGGATGTTGTAGCAGAATCATGCAGAATCCTTATTGGTTATTCATATCCATTGTATCCACAGTAGATTCCAATGCTTCAATCCGTCATTCCCCACTTCTGAGTCTTTCAGATTTGATGGATTGATGCAGGTCGATGATGGTCAGTATGTGAGTTCCAAGGGGTTTGTGCATCAAGTTTGACCACCAATGATTCTTTGGACACGATGTCCTTTTTCATGTTGGTTTTGGGATGAATTCTCCACAGATGCTATGGATGTTGATTCCCACAAATGGTTCCATTAGGTTATATTAGAATACACACTGGCATGTATCCCAACTGCAATATGATTTACTATCCGACAGAAATACACCTCGTGCAGAAGCTCTGCTTGCGGAGCCAGGCATTTCCTACAGTCCACTGGGTCAAGTGAATGGGGTATACGGGATACCAGCAAACGGCCAGTGTAATAAAGAGAACAATGATTAGTTTGTGGATATTAAATCGGCTTTTCTTCGACATCTTCAGACAAACGCATATAAGCATTGTCGGTGATGTATCTCATCATACTTGTACCCTGCAAGTACTGCTTAATCCCATTATCTCCATATTCTCCCAATTCTCCCCATTCTCCCTATTATCCCTATCAGCAAATCCCATATCGATGATGGTTGTTTATCCCGTAATTAAACATATATAAAACATTTTAAAACTTCAACTTTTGGACAATAAATATATAACAACATTGTCACATCTCTCCTGCAATTTACCAATTTGTCCCTCGAAAACAATCCCTGGATCTGCTGAAGATTCCTTTTCTCAGTGCTTAATCCACCATTTGAGAAAAACTGCCTTTTATCTATCACATATATCATATATCATATATATCATATATCATATATATGGTACCTTTAAGCAAACCCCAAAAAAAGGTATCGAAAGAGTCGTGTTTTGCCAGACGCCAGGTGATTGGTTTGCCCGAGATGAGCGGCTTCGACACTGAAGCAATCCCATCAGTGCTGTGGCTGATTTCGCTGACAAGGTGTTGATAGTACCCTGCAAACAGATAGAACATGTTAAATTTACCACCATTGTTGAAAGGACTTTATATGACTATAACACTTTACGAATGTCTATCTTTGGGGGTTACTATAGATGAGTGGAGTTCACTTTCAATAGTAGATAGGAATCAACATATAAGACCTGTATATTTCAACATCAAAGAGTCAACCATGATTTGTATGCAACAAAAGTGGATCAAGGCATGACACACTCATGAAACATGCAACTCAGCCTGCAAAAAAAATGGGTGTTTGAATGAGAAAGCTGCCGAACTTGCCAGCATCATTCATGACTTTAATATGACTATCCAACTATTTGATCAAGCTTCATGATTGGATTTGTTGCTCTTGACGTTTTTTTTTTGTCTTCTTTTGTGATAGTCGAAGTGATCAGATCTGGCCTCAAACATCGTTACAATATTAGTTCAGCAGCTCTTAAACTGATCAGATGTTGTGTATCCATGTGGTTACGGTTCAAAATCACAACGTTCTCAAGTTCACACTTCTAACATGACAGAAGATTGGTGGACGACTTTGTGAACCTTCCACCATCAACGTAGCTAAGAAATGGCACCCCTCTTGCAGAGTGGGGTGACAAAGACACCCATGTGGGGGTTTCTTCATTGGACACCAGAACCACTAGCTTCCCATGGGTTTTCCAATAATTAAAACAACACCAATGAATCGGATTGGCTCATTTTGTAGGTCCTTCCACTTTTGAAACCAACATTAAAACCCCCAGCAACTTTGATTATTAGACGACGATTAATGCATATTAATGATAATGTTTTGAAATATGGCTGGGTTCACAACTACTTGCTATAATCTATACGCGAAATAATACAATAGTGAATCATCATTTCAGACACACACCAACGAATAACAACAAATATTTGATGGGATACGTAATCATACGTTATCCGATTCTACTAGATGGTGTCTTCCTATATTAAGTACCCTCCAATTTTGTTACCCAACAAACATTGGAAGAGCCATGGGGAAACCTGTTCGAACATGATCTACAAATGATGGGTTTTCCACATTTTATCTAGGTTGGCAGCAGGGTATCCCGGTATACCATGTGGTAATCAAACATGACTTGCTGGAAAATCATCCAGCCATAGTTCCATGATATTCCCAGCTCCATCAGCGAGTCGAGGCCAATCTTCCGCATGCTACCTGGTCCTGGTTTTTTGGCTTACCAGGGGATGGGATGGTGACTGAGCCATTGAAAATAGCCATGGTTGGTGGGTTATATAGATGGGAAACAAAGACAAAGAAATATGGGTTTGAACCGATAAACATATGGGTGTTTCCTTCCTAAAGGATGATAAAGGCTAATTAGCGGCTAATTGATTGATGGTTGATTGGTTAGGAACTAGGGAGTTATACTACCTGTGTTATTGGAGATTAGGAACTAACCCGTAGGACGGAAACCTATCAACCAAATAATGAGATGGGATAGGTGTATTTTTCATGGCTCATTCAATCATGCCTCAATTGGGGTATGCAAGAGTTCCTGGCTTACTATATTAAATATTCAGAAACCATATTCAGCGTTTTTGTTTTTGGGACCTTTGGTTGAATTGTTTTTGTGTTGCCATGTTGGACAATCACGGGAGGTTTACTGGTGAATCTCATACCAAGAATGAGTTTCGAATTGTGAAGGCTACTTGATTCTGACAAAAATGAAGCTGATTCAGCAGCAATTAAGCAATTCTCATGGGGATTTGAACCAGCAGTGGAGAATGTACCGGCAACGGGTCAACTGGTTTGGGTTTTCACCTTGGTGAAAGCAAGGAACGGAAACACCACCAGCCATGACCTCCAGTAATTGTCGTAGATGCCATGAGTCCGGGGTTTTATGAAGAGTACTGCAAATGGACTATTTTCTGGGTCACACTGGATTGCGGTATCTCAGATTGCCCGTAAATCACAACTGGTGAAGCTGGCTTAAGCTGTCCTCAAAGGCCGGTGTCTGATGTGTCAGGGATTGGAACCATTCCAAAGTGACCAGAAAGAAAACTCGCTTTGAAGTTGGATGAATAATGATATAGTATGATATAGTAGCCACCAAAAAGATGTAAAAAGCATCGATCCCTATGTTGATACAGTTTTACTGTTCTATCAATCTGCTTTGGGGATTGCTCTAGAGGAACAAATATATACCATCAAGCCAGGAAAAGGCTAGATTCTGGGGCTTAATTTTTTAGCTTGGGAGATCAGCCGATGTATCACAACCGCCAGAATTGGAACTAGACGACGGATGGCCCGAGAGCGTAGAGGAGCAGAGTCTTCTTCTGCTGTTAGTATGGCGACACTATATTACAAGACAATATATTAAAGATGTATTACAGGCAGACGAGAAGAGTAGTATCAAGACAATATTATATGGCATCGTATCTTTTCCATCGTATCTTTCAAAAAGCTTTTCACGCACAGAAAATTTACAGACAGACGCTTTTGCACACAGACGCTTTTACACACAGAAGCTTTTACACACAGACGCTTTTACACACACACAAACACTTTTACACACATTAACTTTTACACACAGACGCTTTTACACACAGACGTTTTTACACACAGACGCTTTTACACACAGAGGCTTTTACACACAGACGCTTTTCCACACAGAGACTTTTACACACAGACGCTTTTACACACAGAGGGTTTTACACACAGACGCTTTTACACACAGACCCTTTTACACACAAACCACTTTTACACACAGAGACTTTTACACACAGACGCTTTTACACACAGAAGCTTTTACACACAGACGCTTTTACACACAGACGCTTTTACACACAGACGCTTTTACACACAAACACTTTTACACGCAAACACTTTTACACACAGAGACGTTTACACCCAGAAGCTTTTACACACAGACGTTTTTACACACAAACACTTTTGCACACAGAGACTTTTACACACAGACATACACAGACGCTTTTACACACAGACGCTTTTACACACAGAGGGTTTTACACACAGAGACTTTTACACACAGAGACTTTTACACACAAACACTTTTACACACAGAAGCTTTTACACACAGACGCTATTACACACAGACGCTTTTACACACAAAAGTTTACACACAAACAGTTTTACACACAAACACTTTTACACAGAGACGCTTTTACAGACAGAAGCTTTTACACACAGACGCTATTACACACAGACGCTTTTACACACAGACGCTTTTACACACAGACGCTTTTACACACATCGCAATTTTACTTCAGTTTTTGGCGATCCAACCTCATTTCGTGCGAAAGGGACGTGCGCAACGAAGACTGTACGCTTAAAGTTATAAGACTTTACAGACTTAGCCTAGATATACAGAAGTTAAAGGATTTATGTTGGAAGTTAACATGACTTATCAAAAAGATAAAAGGAAGTTATGTTAACTTTAATAACTTATTTGTAAGTTTTGTCTTAACTTTTTATAACTTCTGCTAACTTTTTATAACTTCTGCTAACTTTTTATAACTTTTCATAACTTTTTGTAACTTTTTTGTATATTTTTATACTTTTGAAAGTCTTTGCCTTGGTTTCCGACCACGTGGATTTTATAACTGTCTTGTTTCTGAAAGAACTTTCAGATATGATATCCTTTTTTTGAATCGACGAAGTGATGTGAAAGCGTTTCAGTTATGTATGTTTCAGGAATCATGACACCTGAGGCGATATGTTTTTTTTAGTGATATCTCTGTCTGTATTTTTGGATCGGGAAACAAGTTGAGTTACAACTGTTCCCGTTCGGGATCCGTTATTTTGTTAAAACGATCCCGTTCGGACTTGGTTGTTTCAACCTCTCCCTTTCGGGATCTGGTAACTATTTTTATCTCCAGGTAACTATTTTTATCTGAACTATAGCCATTTTTTATCTGAACTATAGCCATTTTTTATCTGAACTATAGCCATTTTTATCTGAACTATAGCTATTTTTGTCTGAACTCTAGCTATTTTTGTCTGAACTATAGCTAGTTTTGTCTGAACTCTAGCTATTTTTGTCTGAACTATAGCTAGTTTTGTCTGAACTATAGCGACTTTTATTCTGAACTATAGCTAGTTTTGTCTGAACTATAGCCATTTTTTTCTGAAAGACCAATATTTTTGTCTGAACTATAGCCATTTTTTTTTTGAACTATAGCTATTTTTGTTTGAACTATAGCCATTTTTTTTTCTGAACTATAGCCATTTTTATCTGAACTATTGCTATTTTTGTCTGAACTATAGCTATTTTTCTTTGAACTATAGCTATTTTTGTCTGAACTATAGCTGAACTATAGCTGAACTATAGCTGAACTATAGCTGAACTATAGCTGAACTATAGCTGAACTATAGCTGAACTATAGCTGAACTATAGCTGAACTATAGCTGAACTATAGCTGAACTATAGCTGAACTATAGCTGCACTATAGCTGAACTATAGCTGAATAGCTCTATCTAGGGACATTTATATGGGAAAGGTTGAAAATCGAAGAATTAATCCTTTTCAGAAACTGTCTTCTCAGACCGGATCCTTCTCAGGAATTGTCATTTCAGACTCTTTCCTTTGCAGGAACTGTCTTCTCAGACCGGATCCTTCTCAGGAACTGTCTTCTCAGACCGGATCCTTCTCAGGAACTGTCATTCCAGACTATTTCCCTTTCAGGAACTATCACTTCAGACTCTGTCCTTTTCAGGAAGTATCTTTGCAGACCATATCCCTTGCAGGAAGTACTTGTATATGATACTTAGTTTAATCTAAAATGATCAAACCAAAGAACTCAGGCAGCACACGCAATATGCCTTTTTTTCACCCTGTATAAATGTTGACAAGCTTTGTCACAAACTTAATGAAACTCTCGAAAAATGTAAAATAAAGAAACATTTTCATTGCCCTCTTGTAAACATATTTTAAACTTTATATAACTTTATATAACTTTATACTAACTTTTTGTAACTTTTTATAACTTTTTATAACTTTTGTTAACTTTCAGATAACTTATGATAACTTTTCCTAGATACTTATGTTAAGTCTGTTAACATAGTTATAAAAAGAAAACTTGCAGTTAAGATACTTACGATAAGTTCATTAACCATTTATATTTTACCTAAACATTTACAACTTCTCGTAGCCGGCTAGCTAAACTTACAAATTACTTATCAAATGTTATGACACTTTACATACTTGCAAGCAGGTTATAGACATGTTATAGAAGGGTTATATACATGTTGTAACTCGTCTAATTCTGTAAACTGATATAACTTCCAGCGTACAGTCTTCGAAGGGTCGCGCGGGACAAGTTGAAATCGCAATTTTACCTCAGTTTTTGCCGATCGAACCTCATTTCGTGCGAAAGGGTTGCGCCGGACGACTTGAAATCGCAATTTTACCTCAGGTTTTGACGATCGAACCTCATTTCGTGCGAAAGGGTTGCGCCGGACAAGTTGAAATCGCAATTTTACCTCAGTTTTTGGCGATCGAACCTCATTTCGTGCGAAAAGGTTGCGCCGGACAAGTTGAAATCACAATTTTACCTCAGTTTTTGACGATCGAACCTCATTTCGTGCGAAAGCGTTGCGCGGGACAAGTTGAAATCGCAATTTTACCTCAGTTTTTGACGATCGAACCTCATTTCGTGCGAAAGGGTTGCGCGGGACAAGTTGAAATCGCAATTTTACCTCAGTTTTTGACGATCGAACCTCATTTCGTGCGAAAGGGTTGCGCCGGACAAGTTGAAATCGCAATTTTACCTCAGTTTTTGACGATCGAACCTCATTTCGTGCGAAAGGGTTGCGCCGGACAAGTTGAAATCGCAATTTTACCTCAGTTTTTGACGATCGAACCTCATTTCGTGCGAAAGGGTTGCGTTTCGTGCCGTCTCGTTGGCACTGCCCCTGCACCCGCCTTCAAGGGAGAAATAGAAAAGAAGGAGAGGGCAAGAGGGCAAGAGGAGAAGGTGTGAGATGAGATGTAAAGATGAGAAGATGTGAGAAGATGTGAGAAGATGTGAGAAGATGTGAGAAGATGTGAGAAGATGAGAAGATGTGAGAAGATGTGAGAAGATGTGAGAAGATGTGAGAAGATGTGAGAAGATGTGAGAAGATGTGAGAAGATGTGAGAAGATGTGAGAAGATGTGAGAAGATGTGAGAAAATGTGAGAAGATGTGAGAAGATGTGAGAAGATGTGAGAAGATGTGAGAAGATGAGAAGATGTGAGAAGATGTGAGAAGATGTGAGAAGATGTGAGAAGATGTGAGAAGATGTGAGAAGATGTGAGAAGATGTGAGAAGATGTGAGAAGATGTGAGAAGATGAGAAGATGTGAGAAGATGTGAAGATGAGAAGATGTGAAGATGAGAAGATGTGAAGATGAGAAGATGTGAAGATGAGAAGATGAGGAGATGAGAAGATGTGAAGATGAGAAGATGAGGAGAAGATGTGAGGATGAGAAGATGTGAAGATGAGAAGATGAGGGATGAGGAAAAGATGTGAAGATGAGAAGGTGTGAAGATGAGAAGATGTGAAGATGAGAAGATGTGAAGATGAGAAGATGTGAAGATGAGAAGATGTGAAGATGAGAGGATGTGAAGATGAGAAGATGTTTTACAGACCCCCACTATTGGAAGAACCCTGCGCTCAGACGCTCTTGGGAAAAAACAAAAACGTCATTATTGAATGGAAATGGAGATACCATCTGAGACCATCCTGGATATTGTTATTTTCATTATTTGGACCCCCATAGGCGGACATAACAATGAGATAGCAAAAACAATAACTGCAAAATGAAACGTAGCTCATTTCACATTTCATATTCCGCTTAATGTTGTTTTTGGGTTAGCGGCAATTTCCGAAAGCCAGTGAATGAGAATTGGGATGAAGGTTAGCCGTTAGTGCCTCCATGAAATGGGAGAATCCATCGATTGTCCCAGACCTCTGTGGATTTGAAGATCTCACTTTTGATCCATACCCGGATAGATTAGAGACACAATTACTTTACTTCGTGTGATCCCCACCATGACATTTATACATTTTGTTACTGGCAAATCTTCTGGCATTCTATCTGACATATTTTCTGGCATTCGATCTGGCATTCTACCTGGCATATCTTCTGGCAGATGTTCTGGCATATCTTCTGGCAGATGTTCTGGCATATCTTCTGGCATATCTTCTGGCATATGTTCTGGCATATCTTCTGGCATTCCATCTGGCATTCTATCTGGCATATCTTCTGGCATATTATCTGGCAAATCTTCTGGCATTCCATCTGGCATTCTATCTAGCATATCTTCTGGCATATTATCTGGCAAATCTGCTGGCATTCTATCGGGCAAACATTCTGGCACTTTATCTGGCATATCTTCTGGCATTCTAGCTGACATTCTATCTGGCATTCTATCTGGCATACCTTTTGGCATTCTATCTGGCATATCTTCTAACATTCTATCTGGCATATCTTCTGGCACTCTATGTGGCATATCTTTTGGCGTGGATACTCGCGGTTGAGGTCCGGCAGGGAACACTGGGCGCGGATGGTCGCGGTTGAGGTCCGGCAGGGAACACTGGGCGCGGATGGTCGTGGTTGAGGTCCGGCAGGGAACACTGGGCGCGGATGGTCGTGGGTGAGGTCCGGCAGGGAACACTGGGCGTGGATGGTCGTGGTTGAGGTCCGGCAGGGAACACTGGGCGTGGATGGTCGTGGTTGAGGTCCGACAGCGAACACTGTGGATCGCGAGTCGCAGTTGAGCAGGAGGACGAGGAGGACAACGAGAGGAGGAGGACAACGAGAGGAGGAGGACAACGAGAGGAGGAGGACAACGAGAGGAGGAGGAGAGGAGGAGGAGGACCAGGCAACTTAGATAAAATCTAACAACCCTCACCTGGCAGGTGGGGAAAAATAGAATAAAATAGTTTCAATAGATACTTCCGAATTTAGTACTTCTTCACATCCCAACTCCTTTTACTCTGTTCGAAGAAATGATGGAAGTGATGATTCATCTTTTTTATTTTCCAGAGCAGTACTTTTTTTTTTCAGGCCGGCGACCGTTCCCAATGAATGTTGATCTCCCAAGGCGTCAAACCGGAGAGGAGTTGAGTAACGAAGAGGCCCTCGAGCGACTGCTACAGGAGCCATTTGGAAGGAATCCCAGGAAGATCCCCTTGGAATCAGCTGTGGTCATCCTGCGGATATGTCGCCAGGAAGATCCTCACTTAAAATATGGCCAACAATATGGTACTAAGTAATTAAGTACCTCCATGAAAAAAAAAGGATCCTGAAATGTCCATTGAATATGGTTGCAAATCTGGTTTTGCTGACTTAAACTTAACAGACCCCAATTTCCCGATTGCTTATCAATATTCATTACAATCAGGTGTAGAAAGTGTGAGTCTACTAAAATAATCTAAAATACATCAGTCGGTGGGATTAAAAAAAATATCGCAGGTCTGCAAATTGCCGAATGATGGCAGGGTGAGGACATATGGTTAGTTTTTTGAAAAGGGTTCAACTTCTATCAGCTCAAGGTCTTACTTATTTTCCAAAAAAGGGTTCAACTCCCATCAGCTCAAGGTCTTATTTATTTTCCAGAAAGGGGAACTCATTTGGGTCAATTGCCATTTTGACCCCTTCATGTCCCAGTTATACCATTCCTCTTGGAGTGACTTATACACGTGGTAAAACCTGGTAAACATATGATAGATAACATCAACCCGCTCCCTCTGCAAGTTGGCCAGGAGCAAGGCATTGACACCAATGACTATCCACCGGGAGCCATCTCCGAGTTGTGTGATGAGTTGTACGAGGCGTGGACGCAGACTGGCCAACGTGCAGTCGTGACGGGGGAAGGTGGCTTAATAGTTGGTGAAAAGGTAGGTGCATGGTAGATGAAGCGGGTATTTAAGGGTGTTCACATGTGTTTTGTTCTCCTAATGAATGAAAGTGCTCATATGCAGCTAAGATACATATTGGACATACCTTTTTGGCATGTTTGTTTGGAGGTAAACCAGGGTGGGTTAAATACAAAAACACCGATGTTTGCCCAAGATAGGCCACCTCTAGAACTTATCAACCGCTGGTATAGGTGCAATGCCTCAAACAGTTCGTGGATGTTGATATTCTGGCTGGGGAGTTTTAAATCTGGTTGGTGGTTTGGAAAATGAATTTTATTTTTCCAGATGGGAATGTACTCATCCCAACTGACGAACTCCATCATTTTTCAGAGGGGTGGGTCAACCACCAACCAGAAATAGACAATGAGCCTGTTGGATGGACACCACCAAGCAGCGTTGGACGTTTTTCTGGGGGCTTTCTTCGAGGGCACCAATGCCTCAGTGATGGACGGTGTGTGGCGTAGAAACAAGTTGGGATGAAACAAAATGCAGAAATTGATGGCAATTGATGGAAAAAAAGAGGAAAGTGATGTAAGTTGGTTGACACGTCTGATTCTTGTGCCTGAGAAAGTGAAACATGATGAAACATGTCATTTTCAGAGATTGAAGTATGGCTTTTTTCACCTGACACGTAACTGGTTACTTTTGTATATAATTACTTTTGCCAATATTACATACTCTTGCCAATATTATATAGTATGTCTCAAAACAATTGACCCGAATGAATGGAAGCTTTACTATATTTTGCGTGATCAATTCTGTGCACTGGTAGGTTTTGAGCCATAGAGAATATGGAATGAGTGACACTCGCCATCACCAAGGTCGACAATCGATCCATAGATGACCCGTCCCATAGCTCTGTCAATCCGCTGAGAAATCCTCATGATTCTACTCAATATATCACCGTAAATTTCCTGAACGGCTTGCAATGATTGTAATGTACGACTGAAGCCGCGTTTGACAATGCATAAATTGGCATAAATCCATTAAGATTTGTTTGTGTTGTTTTTGCTCACGCCGCCTCTAACGACCCCAGGCGGTTTGCGTGTTTTGATGTGCCATGTGCGTGTTGTGTTTTCTTTTGGGGGGGTGGGGGGGGTGGGTGGGGTGGGGTGGGATGTTAACGTTCCTTGCACTTCGTACATTACATGTTGCTACGCTGTAGAGATCTCTGGGATCGTTGCTACGTCACATGTTGTTACGTTGCTGATGGTGTGGGGGGGGTGGGTGGGGTGGGGTGGGATGTTAACGTTCCTTGCACTTCGTACATTACATGTTGCTACGCTGTAGAGATCTTTGGGATCGTTGCTACGTCACATGTTGTTACGTTGCTGATGGTGTGGGGGGGGTGGGTGGGGTGGGATGTTGTACGTTCCTTGCACTTCGTACATTTCATGTTGCTACGCTGTAGAGATCTCTGGGATCGTTGCTACGTCACATGTTGTTACGTTGCTGATGGTGTGGGGTGGGTGGGGTGGGGTGGGGTGGGATGTTTACGTTCCTTGCACTTCGTACATTACATGTTGCTACGCTGTAGAGATCTCTGGGATCGTTGCTACGTCACATGTTGTTACGTTGCTGATGGTGTGGGGTGGTGGGTGGGGTGGGGTGGGATGTTTACGTTCCTTGCACTTCGTACATTTCATGTTGCTACGCTGTAGAGATCTCTGGGATCGTTGCTACGTCACATGTTGTTACGTTGCTGATGGTGTGGGGGGGTGGGTGGGGTGGGTTCCTTGCATGGGACTCTGGGATCGTTGCACGTCACATGTTGCCTTGCACGAGCACTTCGTACATTTCATGTTGCTACGCTGTAGAGATCTCTGGGATCGTTGCTACGTCACATGTTGTTACGTTGCTGATGGTGTGGGGTGGGGGGGGTGGGGTGGGGGGGGATGTTTACGTTCCTTGCACTTCGTACATTTCATGTTGCTACGCTGTAGAGATCTCTGGGATCGTTGCTACGTCACATGTTGTTACGTTGCTGATGGTGTGGGGTGGGGTGGGGTGGGGTGGGGTGGGATGTTTACGTTCCTTGCACTTCGTACATTTCATGTTGCTACGCTGTAGAGATCTCTGGGATCGTTGCTACGTCACATGTTGTTACGTTGCTGATGGTGTGGGGTGGTGTGGGGTGGGGTGGGGGGGGATGTTTACGTTCCTTGCACTTCGTACATTTCATGTTGCTACGCTGTAGAGATCTCTGGGATCGTTGCTACGTCACATGTTGTTACGTTGCTGATGGTGTGGGGTGGTGTGGGGTGGGGTGGGGTGGGATGTTTACGTTCCTTGCACTTCGTACATTTCATGTTGCTACGCTGTAGAGATCTCTGGGATCGTTGCTACGTCACATGTTGTTACGTTGCTGATGGTGTGGGGTGGTGTGGGGTGGGGTGGGGTGGGATGTTTACGTTCCTTGCACTTCGTACATTTCATGTTGCTACGCTGTAGAGATCTCTGGGATCGTTGCTACGTCACATGTTGTTACGTTGCTGATGGTGTGGGGATTGAAAGACTTGCAAGATTGAAAGAACTTGGCACGTTGGCAAAGACTTGCAAGTGAAAAATATAAAAACTTCGTTTTTTTTTGTATGGGGACAAAAATTGAATGCTTCGACCACTGTAAATTCATGAAAACGACTACAAAGTCATGCAAATACCAATGGAAATGCAAGTCATGTCAAAATGCGAATGTCACAAAACCCTGGAAGGGTTGCAAAACTGAAGACTGAGCTGCTGGAAAAAAGGTGAAATTGCGCGGGGTCATTGCGGGCGGCGTGTCCTTGTTTTTTTCCACTTCGTTGTTGGTCAAATCCACATACTACCGGAATCAAGGCTCTAGAGACGCCCCATTTTTTTATGGCAAACAACCCCATCCATGACCGATGACCAGTCTCGCTATGCCACCTTGTCACTTCGAGTGGGGGAGCTTGGTCGGAGAATGTCAGGATTCGGATGGAGAAGGAGCCAGGGAAGAGATATTGTGAGATATGAAAATGATGCGAAAATGCGGGCACCCTCAGTTATAAGTTGCTTTGTATAAACCCATCTAACATCATATCATCTAACTATCGTTTTTTAACTGCCACAATTAGTCAGCTGGAGTTATGGGTCCCCACCTAGCGGTCCGGGGGGTTTGCACCTTGTAGGTACGGGTTTCAACCGATCAACAAACTGGAATTCGTTCGGCTCAACCACTGTAATGAGTGTCCATTATTGGGTATGAACACCATAAACCAAAGTCTCCATGGAAGGTACGGCATTTTTTTTCAAAGGATTGGCAATACTTTATGCGCGGAGAGTGTGGGCATGTATGGGATCTACGGGATATCAATACGTGATGTGCGTCATCCAAGCCTCTCATTTTCTACTGCTTGGACTTCTGGATACAGCACCCTTTTGTTGGCAAAACATCCCAGCAGTCATCAGCCAAAGGGGCTGCAATAAAAGGCATTTGAAGCTTGGGCTACTCAAATGTGGGTCCAGACCGGCAGTACACCACACTTTCGTTGGATGAACATCAAACTTCCATCCCATTTTGTATCCCCCAAAATGGTCACCGGGGTCCCAGGCTACCCATAGCACCGTGGAACATCCCATGAGTCACGTCACGGGACCTTCCGCCCTGGCCGTGTCAGACTGGGCATTTGGTTCGCAACATTCAGATCATCAAGGCTGGGCGAAATTTGGCAAAGAGGGTGATGGCTGGGCATCGAAATTTGGCACTATGAATTGATGATTTGAGATGATTTACCCACTAAAAATGGTAATTTTACCATAGTTATGTGAGTTTACCAGAGGGTATCTGGTTGGTTGGTGGTGACTGGGACCATGGAATCTTATGACTCTCCATTCAGTTGGGAATGTCATCATCCCAACTGACGAACTCATATCAGAGGGGTAGGTATACCACCAACCAGTGATGATTTGAAGTGATTCAAGCAAACCATTGGAGAAGTAGCTGGCATTATCCAGCCACCTATGTGATTTTAAGATATTTTAGGCAGGAAGATGGACATGTTGCTGGGCAAAGCCACGGCATATCCCTGACCTGACCATGGTTTCTGGGGGGTCTTCAAAATTAGGATGGGATTCGATCTAAATGGATAAAGCGACGCAAGATTTGCCCAAACTAGGTGACTTGCAGGTGCTACATCATCGTGAGACAACAAGGGATCAGTCAACTAATGTTCCCGATTCGCCCTGGGCTTTGATGTACTCCATTTCCATTTGGGGTTTGACTGAAAATGTGGTAGCCAAACATGTACAAAAAGGTGATGTTTAATCACCATTGTCCCTACTTCCATTGCCATTTCGGGGTATATAATAATCTACCTTCAGACACACCTATTCTTAGTACAGACCAACAGACCCAGTCCGCACCTCAGGTCCAAAGATCTTGTACCATTTGGATTGGATTGATATGCTGATTCAAGTCATCGGTTTAGCATCATTTAGTTTCATCTTCTGATTGACGAATATCTTAAAATCGGCCATTTAGCATATTTAGCTTATTCTCGTTCTGATTGACTGTATGGAAGCTTAATCTTCTGAAAATCATCGTCAAAAGCAGGTGTGGCTGTGCGCCACCATTCTCAGCGTGGACTATGCCGGAATCTTAGGACTGGGCATGGAACTGAATCTTTTCCCATGGGAGGATTCCCAGCCATTGATGAAAGCTGTTGGAAAGGGATTTGTGCTTGTTAACTCCCCATGACTTCAAAGTGGGCTCAGGGGGTGAACAAGGTTGGAAAGTGCCCATGATTGGTTGAACATTATGTTATATCATGATTATATCAGAATGTGTTTTAAACAATTGACTAAAAGATATAATAAACTATGCATATGTCCAGTGTATATATATATATATACACATAACATCAATATGATTATATGTACTAAAACAAACTACATATATATATATATAGATATCATATATGGATAACACACACATATATATATATAACATATATATATATAGATAACATATATATATATATTATATTATACACCACTATACATATAGATCACACTGTGCATCCTTTCGGGAGCCCCTCGTTGTCGACGAAACCCAGTTCATTGGCCATGGCTTGAGGTCTTGCGGTCGAAGGGCAAGATGCAATTCGGCAAGCGGGAAAGGAACCACAAAGAAGGCACCTCTTGCAGCTGCAATGGAAAAAATACCACAATTTATCGCAGGATAAATTTTTGTTGTGGGAAAATCCTGGGAAAATATGATGAAGCGTGAGATTTGAAAAGGGAAGCCTGATTTTCAGACAAACGATTTTGCATCAAAAGTGTCTTTTTACTCAAAAGTATATATATATACTCTATAAGATTTCTGTTGTTAGGAAACTCCAGGACGCGATGGATGAAATGACAATCAATTTTGTAAATAATAAGCCTGCATTGTTTTTTTTTCCTACCCATGACTGGGTAACCTTGGTTGTGTAGTTTAATACTGAACTTGTAATTATGATGGAACCATTGTGTATTATATATCATAGATATGAACATACCAGCCAAAGATCAAGGTCTTTTGTGGGGTATCTTAGACTGGCGACGATAAACCTGCCCAATTCGTAGTTAGTGTTTATTTGATCAGACACATTTTTTTGGTGTCAACGCCAGTGAGAGGCCAGGCGCGTGTTGATATTTTGGCGTCTTGATATTTTGGGGGTGGGGGGGGTGAGGTTTGGTAATAACGTTCTGTTCCACTTCTACTCCATAGTACGTGTTCTTGCACTCCCACACATACGTCACGCTACGCTGCTGGATGTTCTCTTGCATTTCTACACATACGTCATGCTACGCTGCTGGATGTTCTCTTACACTTCCAAAAAAAGGAACTTTTCGGCGAACAAAACTGCAGTTTCGGATTCGTGCTTGTAAAACACTAGATTTTCCACTTTTGAGGCCACCTTTCCAAGGGATTTGCACCAGAAATTTATTCCAGAAAAATAAAATGTGCAATTTTTTTACAGCTTCGGACATTTCCATTATCGTCCTGGGACTGTGTGATGTCATCACCGACACGGCCTCTTACAGACGTTGCCTATGTTTTCCAATATTTTTGGATGTTCAAGGTGAAACCACCAACAATCTCTTGGCGAAAAAACATGAAAAAACTAAAAAGCAAATACAAGGTGAGGTCCCCCAGTTGTAATTTTTGGTTTAGATTCAACCATGACTGCCTCATTTCCCCCTAATCAACCCAAGCTACTTCACCTAAAGTGAGCTGTCAACTTCGCCAGGTCCAGTCACCATGCGGATGCGTTCCGATCAGGCGCGATGGGACAGTACTCAATCGATTTCGTTTACGTTTGGATATGCTCCACAATTTTCCAAAGGTCAACGGTCAACATTATCAGGTCAGGTCAAGATGTTCCAAAGATTTTCCAGATATGTTCCACATATGTATAATTATTATTAATTATTATAGTTTTTATATACACATATATTGTTTGCAACATGACCAGATCGGGGTCCAATGATTCCAATGCAAAGTTATCTCAGGATTGGAAGACTGCGGCCTTTTCGTGCCTCTATGGTTCCCTGGCTCGGCTGTTGGGTTGCTGGTGGACATATTTGGACATACCCTCTGGTAAACTAACATAGCTATTGAAAATGGCCATTTATAGTGGATTTTCCCATTAAAAATGAGGTGATTTTCCATAGTTATGTTAAATTACCAGAGGGTATCTAGAATTTCCGGGCTATACCTAGCTAGGTGGGGTATCGCCGCATATAGTCTCTGGTAAGCTGTTAAAGAGCGAACTGGAAAATCACAATCTTTAAGTTCTGTAAATCAACAAACTAAATGGTCCATTATCAATAGCAAACTGTTAAATTAGCAGAGGCTAATGGTGAAACTAGATGTGGTTGTATGAACAGTGCTGACAACGTACGAAAACTCTGTTGCTTATAATTCAACAGTTGGACTTGTGGTGATATATCTATAGATGGGCTTGGAAACCGATTCATAACCGGGGGTCACCATTGTAACATGTAACATGTTACTGTATACTGTTTTACACTATACTGTATATTAACATATATTAACTATATAGAAGTGGGATAAGTCCACTTAAGGGCAAGGGATTTGAAAGAAACCGGTTGATTATTTCACCCCACTTAATCTGTCTAGCCAACATGATTCAATCCTAAAAGTCATTGGTTTCGCCATGTTTGGGGACTTCTTCAGCAGCGATCGGACTTTCCCGTATACCATGTTTGGGATGGCCATCGTCAATTTCCCATGACCCCACAAGACTCCAAGGCAAGCTTGGAATGGATGAGGCCCGACCTGTGGATGCTCCGAAGGGGATGACCATGACAGTTGCTGTTGGGGATAGCGGCTAGCTATACCCTCTGGTAATTTAACGTAGCTATTGAAAATGACCATAGAAATAGTGAATTTTCCAATTAAAAATGGTGATTTTCAATGGCTATGTTAAATTACCAAAGGGTAAATATTAAGATTATTAAGCAAATGCCTGAAATATGTTTAGATCAGGGTCAAAATCAGCTGGGTACTGCTATATGATGGGCTGGTTGATTCACTTGTCGGAAGTCAGTTTCGGGGACCTTCGGGGACCCGTAGCACGGCCTGACCGGATTTACCATCCGATCATCCCAGATCAAAAGGAGAGATAAACCTTCCCCTCTTCCACTCATAGTGATTAATAGTGATTAATAGTGATTAATAATCAACATTCCACAACTGGCTTTGTCTGAAACTTGTCATTCTCCAAAATCCCGGAAAAAAACAACTTAATTTTCCCCTTATGTTTATAGATAGAGAAAGCCGAAACTTGCGGGGTAACTCCCCCATTTCTGGACCGAGCCCATTTCCCCAGAATTACTGTAGATGCAACTGGTAAGGGAAGATTTCCACTAACACCCGACAAATTGGTGGGTTTTTGGAAAACACCATGGAGATCCGCGGCGTTGCAGTGGGTTTGACCGAAAGTAGGGTACCCCGAAATCCACTGCAGAGTTAATCATCCTATTCCCCAATTAAATAATGAATAGATTTAAATCGCATAGAAGAACAATTTCGGGATATTTTTCGGGATATATACCCCAGTTTCAGGCAAGCACATATCAATCAATGGAGGAATGACGTTGGTCGGCCATGGTCGCCCGGGTCTCGAGCACCGAGCGATTTTCCAGGCCCTGGTGAAATCCCATTTGGTGATCGTGGATTCATCGTACCGCTTGGATGAAGAGGTCGGGCTGCAAGGGCACCAGCATATGGAGATATATGGAGTATGTTTTGCACTGTTGAACATTAATTATATATATTATATTATATCTTATATATTATATAACATATATTGTATATTATATATGATATATTATATAAGATATATATATATTACATAATATTATTTATTTTATATATTATATATTTTTATAATATATAATATATATTGTATATTATATATTATAATATATAATGTTTATATTATTTATTATTTAATATTTTTGTATATTATATATTATATAATGTATATATATATATATATTAATATATAATATATATATATGTATTTTAATATATAATAAATATATATATATATATTATTTATTATATATTATATATTGTATTAAATTATATTATATTATATTAGATTATATTGTGTATATATATATTTATGTATTAATATAAATTATATATATATGTCCGGATAAACCTTAAATGATTACGTTATTAATTTATTACAACTCTTTTTGTCCGTCATTTCGATGGGATATGTGTAGACCCAAGCAGCTGAACATCCATTTTGTCGTAGAGAAGCAGCAGATTGTTCCAGGTCGATCCATCATCGTGATCATAACTATGGAAAATCACCATTTATAGTGGATTTCCCCATGAAAAATGGTGATTTTCCATAGTTATGTTTGTTTACCAGAGGGTATAAGATTCCTATCATCGATTCATCATCCATTCATCATCCACCACCATACATCGTGTCTCATGGCCATGGAAAATAACCTGTCGCGTCCCTCGTACCGGGAGAGCCAGGTGGAGTATTCGCGGTCATATCCCGGGCTCAAAACGGTCTACAACATCCACACGGTGAAGTGCCGAGTGAAGGCCCGGCCGGTTTTTTTGAGCCTAGTTTGCTCAGGTGAAGATGGGTCTTTGTTTCAAGATGTTTCAATCATCATTCGAAACTGATGATTGTGACAAAAAAATCTGATTATGACATTATGACCATGTGTGACATGCCAGTGCTTTCAATCCATATAACTTACACCATGCAGCGGATATGGAAGACTGGCTGAAGGTGGATCATCCAGGATACATCCCAGGCACATGTGCTGTGACTTCAAGCATCATATTCCCAGAGATCTCATTTCTGTCCCTGAACTTCCCTTGTTGTATGTATAATCAATTCACATATATAGACTAGATACATACATATATATATATAGTTTCTTCGAGTTTCAAGCATTTTACTAAAATTATCGCCCGCACCGTAGGATAGCAACTCTGTTCCGATAGACTCGGAGTTTTTTTTCTCTACCCATTGGGATTGGGTTGCCATACACTTTGATTTTCATTTTCGGGGGGACTTGATTGGTTTACCATTTATCACACCTTAGCAGTTGTCAATTACGCAGTGGCTCAACAAGGCACCCTCCTGCAATTCCTGAGTCCCAAAATCCAAGCTAGACTTCAAAAACACCTGTTGAACACTGTGATGAATTAATGGTTAAAACTAAAATGTAAAAACAATGGATCAACACCATTCTCAGTAAATGTTGAATGGTCAAAATCATGGTTCATCCATGGCTCATGCATGCTTCATCCATCATTTGTTTCTACATATTTTTCCCATCATGGTTGGAATTTATCATTTTTCATTTTTGTTTTAATGTGTTTTTTGTTTTCCCAAGACCAAGTGGCCAAGCCCCATTTTTCTGGGTCAAAGCTCTACAGGATGTGGACCATCCAGAGATGTCCTTCATTGGCCTGCCGGAAGGCGACGACGCGTAACCGTCGGACATCGTTTGATGCGACGGCAGTAGAAAGGATACGCTAAAATATGCTGAACTGTTTTAAAACATACTCACGGTATATTGTATAGCTAGTGTATAAGATAATTATGGTGTGTAATTACATATAATTAATACCAATGTTAACAAGCACAATATGTTATTGATGGCATATTTTATAATTGGTATATATGTGTATACAGTGTATATGAATAATAGCAGTAATAGGAATTATAATCCTGGTTGGTGGTTTGGAACATTGTATATTTTTCCACATATTGCATATTGGGAAGAATAATCCCAACTGACGAACTCGTTTTTTTTTTTTTCAGAGGGTTAGGTCAACCACCAAGCAGATAAACATATTTACTGTGGTAAACCCAATGCCACAACTAGTTCCCATTTGGGGATGAACATTTGCCACCCATAAACATGGCAAGTCATGGGGGATGGTGTGTAATTTGGTTTACCACCATTAAACGGTAGATTAGATTATATTATATTATATATATAGATATGCATCTGGTATATCTGAAAATATAGTTATGGTGTATATATATATAATAACATACATGTATATTATATTATTATATATTTATTTTGGTGTAAATTTGCATGTTGTATGTTATATTGCATTGTGTTACTTTTTGAGAATCAACACGGCAAGCTCATACATCCTCGAATGAAGGTTTATAGCCGGGAAACCAATCAAACTATATAGGTATTATTACTGTAACCATATACACCATGGGGAATGCAAACTTGGGTAACTGTATTATGAAGTATGGGCTTGGTGAATTCTGATAATTTTTCCAGATGAATGACAATTGTGCCATGGTCAAGGGTTTTTTTAACCATAGAAAGGGATGGTTATCCACCCATGGATAGGGTTTAATATAGCCATTATAATGATTCCCACTATAGGATGCATGACCATAACCCATATACCATATTTTGACCATGTTTCGAAGAATGCCCTGCTGGTTCTCCGCCTGTTCTGCACAGGGTGTGGTTGGATGTGGGATGTTTTTGTTCTGCCATGTTGGAGCAGTTTGTTGTATCTGTCAAGGTGGAATGCCTGCGCCTCAAAGGGTTACTAAGTATGACCACGGAAGCTCAAATGAGCGGTTTTGAAAAAACCAGTTGATGATTATCCTTGGTATTGGGGACTATCACAATCCATGAGCTGGAACTCTCCAGCAGAAGCAAGCAGTAAAACTTGGGGATTTCCCACTAAGTCACTAGGCCTCCAATTATTTGTTATATAATATAAATATATAATGTGTATATATATATATATATGTAACCAATACTTGGAGGATATGATATATATATATATATGTATATATATATGTGTATATATATATTAATATATATATATATGTATGCATGTATGTATGTATTATTTCTTTGAATCTTTCACTCAAATCACATTGTATCCCCATGATTCTCCCATGATCTCCCTTTATGCTCGCGCTTCATAGAGCTATCACCGAGAGGATGCTCGTGGCTGACAAAGGGCAGCACACCAGTGCTGTGCATCCCATGGCTTAAATGGCTTAGTAAATGTTAATAACCAAATATATCAGTTATCCTCCGGTAGATGGCTTAGATTTTCAGGGATGAAAATATAGGCTCTGGTGGTTTGGAACCATGGAATTTTATGACTTTCCATATATTGGGAATGTCATCATCCCAACTGACGAACTCATATTTTTTCAGAGGGGTAGGTCAACCACCAACCAGAGGTATAATCCCCCCGGATCCGATGTTCCGCCAGGCAACGACTTCGCGGTCACCCGGGTCCGTGTGGTTCTCAAACAGAGAGAGCAAGGTTCGGTAGCGGAAAATGTGATCGATCATAGACTGGTTCATGGTTTGGAACATTTTTTATTTTCCACAATAGTTGGGATGATGATCCAATCTGACTAATATTTTTCAGGGGGTTGAAACCACCAATTAGTAGAGACTTTGTTTCATTCATACATTATGAAACTATGAGAAACTTAAAAAGCTGATAAGGATGATTATGGGTTTAAGATGATTTAAGTGTCATCCAGAAATGCAGACATATGACACTAGAGATAAACCGTTGTGGGGATAAATGTAGTCCTCCAGTAATTCAACAGGAGAATGCAATGTAGGCACTGGATGAATGAGTTTCAAGTATGGGGCTGTTCTATTATTGCCAGGCCCCACTGGGTTTGCGGAGTGGTGATATGTTGTTTTCTGCATGGTACTAATTTCTGTCACAATTCGTTGAGTCCCCCAAATGTCAAAAGGCTGTTCAGTTTTAAATGTCAGCCCCACAAGATGACGGAACTGTCCAAACATCTGGACCCTGAGTGAGAGAATACAACACTGAATGATGTAGTAAGCAGGATAGAACCCTTGAATATTCTGGAAAAGTCATTGCGTTCTCATGGCAGATCAAACCCATTTGCAACGTTGAGAAACTATGGAGCCTGGCCTTGACTGTCCTGAATATTCCCCCCCAAACAGGCTGATTCAACCCCAAAAAAGAACTGTGCCGCTGGTTGTTAAGGTCTTTTTGTTTGTTCATTAAAACAACATATATGTGCTGCACAGAAACCGGTTGGGCGCACAGAAAACAAACATGGTCCATCTCTTCATGTTCTTTGCTGATTTTGAAGATGTTTGTGCTTTCCATCCATTTAAAACTCAATAGAAAGGCGAACATGGATGAACATGGTCCCAATTGACTTGCAGGAGGTTGAGGTGGTAAACCACCAATCCACATGTATTGTTTAGGTACAGTGAATTACGATTAATGCCGTTTCAGCCTGCATTTTTTGTGGCTCAACTCCCGACTTTGAATTCTGGCTTTGCTCATAAGATATCATAAGATAGCAATGCTTGCCATGGTAGAACCCTGCATTGTCACAGCCCAAATCCCCATGATATCCAGCTGGGGATACACCGATACACAAGTGCCAGGGATACATTCAATTTCATGTTCACCTCCAAAAAGGGAATGGTAAAAACTCTAGTTCTTAGTTATTCCATAATTATCCAAATTCGAATATATCCAGTTATATTATATATCCATATTATTTACTGTAGTTATCCCATAATTCTCTCATTACACCTGTTATATCCAGTTTTTTGGTTTCTATTCGGCCTAAAAAACGGACGGGTCGTTAAACAGTGACGACCGAAACGGCCGCCGTTAGTCCGAGGTCAAAACTTCCGTCCCAGCAAGGCGAGCGCGGCGAGCGAGGGTGTCACCTCCACACTGTGGTTCTGGAAGCCAAGGAGCCGCGAGAAAAGAACGGGAGAATTTAGGAAACAATAACAGCAATAATGATGATATAATAGTAATAGTAATAGTAATAATACCAATCATAATGATGATGATCATTATGTTTATATATTATATTATTATCATGTATTATTATTATTATTACTATTATTATTATATAATGGGATAATGATTTTGCAGAGAACATCCCCAATAGAGCTTTACGAACTTGGGTATAAGCCGTTTGCAATGTGATTTTTTTTGTCCCTGGGTTTTACCATAGCCAGCTGACCATGAACTTTTTCGCTGACCAAACAAGGATTGAAAGTGGGTCTGTAGGATCTTGATAGTTACTCAATTGTTAAAAACCATTTAGCGTATTCACTGTAGGGAGATGAATATATTGTATTGCATTGTGATTATGTGTTTAATAGTGAGTTTGAACCATCAACAAATGTGGTGACTTATCCAATAGTAATGTGGAGGAACATTGAGTAGCTGGCCCACAGAGATTGATCTTCCAATCAACAACCAAGAGTTTAACGTCCAACAGCGCAACAGTAGCCGCAAAACCTGGGTGATTGAAATGGTAGAACCAACAGGCGGGCAGAACAGGTGAGGAGTCCTCTGGTTACGTTTGCTTCAAACAATGAGATCCTAAGATATCCTAAGCAGGAAATCCTGGCCAACGTTACCTATACGACATGATGTTTGTTAAGGGAACGTACCTTAAAATGACCATGTATATAATAGGATTATATAGTATATATATAGATTACATAAGATGAGATAGGACAGGACACCATTTTGGAGTATAACTATAGGCAGTCAGACAGATATAAGATTAGTCGCACAAGGGCCTCAAAGAGAGACTGAGACGTATGCTATGTAGGTGAGTAGAACTTTTAATCTCAACTCACTTCGCATACAACCCAGTGTTCAAATGTTTGGACCCCAGGAAACACGACTTCGGATCGTCATGGCTGGTAGCCATTGTAGCCACTATACTATACCTAGACAATCTTAGGACTGAGGAGAATTGGATTTAAATTTGAGGTTAACCATTTGGGTCTGGGTTAAAACTTGTGAAGGCCCGATCCTTTTCCATGTTTTTTGCGCCTTAAAAGGTGGCCCCTTCTCTCGAAGGAGTCAGCTCACTGAAACGGGCGACTTGCTCTACTTCCAGCGGCGGCTCCCAGTTCCAGTTGTGCTGGTTGTGGGGTGTGCGGATGGGCTGGGAATGATTTCTGTTGAAGTGAACTTCCTGTTTTTTTCCCCGAACTCAATGGAGGTTTTAGTATGTTTTAGTCAGAAAATCAGCACTGGCGGATTCTCCATTGCCAACAACATGGATAATCGGATAATCATATAATATCATCCCCCCCATCGGTGACCCCCAAATCATGGATCTAATGCTAAACAGGGTTCGTTTAAATGGTCTTTGATATTAGGGGGAAGAAATGAGTCACTATGAGCCTATGATGTTCGAGGACGGATGGTGGATTTTCCATGGTGTCATGGCCTCTTTTCACCACTGTACTTTGTGATGGGGATCTAACTACTGGGTAGCCAGCAAGAAATGGGATTTGAATATGAAATCACCAAGAAAGCGGCCATCATGCTGGGTGAACCAACTATGAATGTAGCTCAGTGACTTACTTGTTGCCTCAAAATGGAAACACATAGGTCCTTCCAAAAAAAACAAATGCAAGGTATCCACATTGAAAGGGCAGATGCCCTTCCAAGCTCAGCAATCGAACTTCGAGGGCTATATGGAACACACAAAAACTTGCCCCGTGCAGCAAGGGATGGAGATCTTGTCTGCATTATACCCCCCACCAGTGATGTTTTGGGATGGTACTGAGAATAGTACTGTAAAAAGAATCTTCTTGAAGCTGATGTTCTTCAGGGAAGCACATTCTAGGTAAGAACATTCTGCCTTGCCTCCTCTTATTGAATCATGGGAAGAACCCTCATGAGAACTTTTTGTGAATCCCAAAGGGCACCATCCTTTGCTATGGCTTTAATTTATCTAGCACAATCTTTCAGCAAACGTTCAGGTTTCCCAAAAGCATCGATTCCTTTGACATGGCAAGTGTTTTCTGGGGATGATAGTGACGCCACGGCTTGTCGGCCTTCAACATTAGGCTTATGTTTATTTCTTATGATTATTTCATGTGTATTATGATTATTTCATGTGTATATACATACACTTATATATATACATATGTATATCTAGGTGCATGAGCATATCTGTACATATCTGATGTTTTATTTTGGGCAATTCAATACCATAAACCGTAACCATTTGGGTTTACCACGTGTGTACCACCCATAGCCATGGTGTGAAGTTTGTAGGCTTCCCCGCTGGAAATGGAGGTTCATAGCTGAGACAATAATCTATAGAAATATACCAAGGAGTATGCCATTTGGTAACTTGACATGACAACAATGACTATGGACAATCATATTTCTGAAAAATTGGTATATCATCATACATCACCTTTTTGAAGGGGCCATGTTCCATTTGCGTTAGATAGCCAGATGGTATGTATTTCTCTCTCTCTATATATATATACATACACATGGCATTTTAGACACCTTTGATGGTTTATAATTTATAATATATATATATATATATAACAAACAACATATTTTTTGGCCATGTTCATATTGGAATATAAACCCAACCAGCTCCAACCAGCAAGAGTGACACTGCAACTGCGCCGCTGCGCCGTGCAAGGAAGAGCTTCACAGATCGGGAGTCCAACGACATCGAGGACGACTTGCTTTTGTCATTGGAAAATCATGGGGATAGACTAGGAGATATTCTCTTGGCAGTGCAAGATAGCTGTACAAAATCGATAAATCATCTATAAATCGGCCCATGTTCCATAGACATACAGCATTACATGCATTGTCAGAGGGTAATAGGGATATCTTAGGGATATCATCAGATATACAAGTACTATGTTTTTAGATTTTTTAGTCTGTCCAACAATGGTGTAGTATAACTAGCGAAATTGCCTTGTTTAATGGGGAAGGCACGATGTTCTCAAGCATCCAATTTGAGGGTAGCTTATTTTCATACAAAGCCATTTGGTTATGATATCTTATTCCCTTGCTATCGAGGCTAGTCAGGCTTGTCTCCAACCTGCGGAGAAAACACAAATCCCAGCAACATGGGAAGATGATAACGCCCTTGGGGCAGTTGAGCGGACAACAAGACTGTCAACTGTCAACACCACGAAACACCAGCCGTAAACCCGGAAGAACGTCTTACGCTGGGAATCGGCAATCCAGCCACTAAATATCCCCGGGCCCAAATGAAGAGATCATTCTAGAGAATGGTTTCCAGGGGGTTCATTTAATGCAAGGGGGGATGGATGGGTAGTTTCTTGTTCAAAATGTTGCTATAAATAATAGGAATATCTATATAATAACCAGCCAGCTAGCAATTTAGTTGCAGGATATCTAAGATTGGCAATTAATTACATCCTGTCGCTCAGTTGATCGCCATGCAATCTGCTCCCGGGCCGCTGGTGGAACATAATCCACTTCTACATGCTCTTGGCAGAATCCATCACTACATCGAAGCGGAATGGGTGAAGCCTGGTTCCAGAAAATGGATGATTTAGGGTACTATGGACGGTTTATACTGGAAAATCCTATTACAGTAAAATGGATGATTTAGGGTGCTATAGATGGTTTATACTGGAAAATCCTATTACAGTAAAATGGATGATTTAGGGTACTATAGATGGTTTATAATAGAACATCCTATTACAGTAAAATGGATGATTTAGGGTACTATGGATGGTTTATACTGGAAAATCCTATTACAGTAAAATGGATGATTTAGGGTACTATGGATGGTTTATACTGGAAAATCCTATTACAGTAAAATGGATGATTTAGGGTACTATAGATGGTTTATACTGGAAAATCCTATTAGATTAAAATGGATGATTTAGGGTACTATAGATGGTTTATAATGGAAAATCCTATTACAGTAAAATGGATGATTTAGGGTACTATGGATGGTTTATACTGGAAAATCCTATTACAGTAAAATGGATGATTTAGGGTACTATAGATGGTTTATAATGGAAAATCCTATTACAGGAAAATTGGTGATTTAGGGTACTATGTACGGTTTATACTGGAAAATCCTATTACAGGAAAATGGGTGATTTAGGGTACTTTGTACGGTTTATACTGGAAAATCCTATTGCAGTAAAATGGATGTTTTAGGGTACTATGGATGGTTTATACTGGAAAATCCTATTACAGGAAAATGGGTGATTTAGGGTACTATGTACGGTTTATACTGGAAAATCCTATTACAGGAAAATGGGTGATTTAGGGTACTATGGATGGTTTATACTGGAAAATCCTATTACAGGAAAATGGGTGATCTAGGGTACTATGTACGGTTTATACTGGAAAATCCTATTACAGGAAAATTGGTGATTTAGGGTACTATGGATGGTTTATACTGGAAAATCCTATTACAGGAAAATGGGTGATTTAGGGTACTATGGATGGTTTATACTGGAAAATCCTATTACAGTAAAATGGATGATTTAGGGTACTATAGATGGTTTATACTGGAAAATCCTATTAGATTAAAATGGATGATTTAGGGTACTATAGATGGTTTATAATGGAAAATCCTATTACAGTAAAATGGATGATTTAGGGTACTATGGATGGTTTATAATGGAAAATACAGGAAAATGGATGTTTTAGGGTACTATGGATGGTTTATAATGGAAAATCCTATTAAGATGGATGATTTAGTGTACTATGGATGGTTTATAATGGAAAATCCTATTAAGATGGATGATTTAGTGTACTATGGATGGTTTATATGGAAAATCCTATTAAGATTGATGATTTAGGGTACTATGGATGGTTTATAATGGAAAATCCTATTAAGATGGATGATTTAGTGTACTATGGATGGTTTATAATGGAAAATCCTATTAAGATGGATGATTTAGTGTACTATGGATGGTTTATAATGATTTATAATGAAAATCCTATTAAGATGGATGATTTAGTGTACTATGGATGGTTTATAATGGAAAATCCTATTAAATGGATGATTTAGTGTACTATGGATGGTTTATAATGGAAAATCCTATTAATATTAAGATGGATGATTTAGTGTACTATGGATGGTTTATAATGGAAAATCCTATTAAGATGGATGATTTAGTGTACTATGGATGGTTTATAATGGAAAATCCTATTAAGATGGATGATTTAGTGTACTATGGATGGTTTATAATGGAAAATCCTATTAAGATGGATGATTTAGTGTACTATGGATGGTTTATAATGGAAAATCCTATTAAGATTGATGATTTAGGGTACTATGGATGGTTTATAATGGAAAATCCTATTAAGATGGATGATTTAGTGTACTATGGATGGTTTATAATGGAAAATCCTATTAAAATGGATGATTTAGTGTACTATGGATGGTTTATAATGGGAAAATCCTATTAATATTAAGATGGATGATTTAGTGTACTATGGATGGTTTATAATGGAAAATCCTATTAAGATGGATGATTTAGTGTACTATGGATGGTTTATAATGGAAAATCCTATTAAGATGGATGATTTAGTGTACTATGGATGGTTTATAATGGAAAATCCTATTAAGATGGATGATTTAGTGTACTATGGATGGTTTATAATGGAAAATCCTATTAAGATGGATGATTTAGTGTACTATGGATGGTTTATAATGGAAAATCCTATTAAGATGGATGATTTAGTGTACTATGGATGGTTTATACTGGAAAATCCTATTACAGGAAAATTGATTTAGGGTACTATGGATGGTTTATACTGGAAAATCCTATTAAGGAAAATGGATGATTTAGTGTACTATGGATGGTTTATAATGGAAAATCCTATTAAGATGGATGATTTAGTGTACTATGGATGGTTTATAATGGAAAATCCTATTAAGATGGATGATTTAGTGTACTATGGATGGTTTATAATGGAAAATCCTATTAAGATTGATGATTTAGGGTACCCTTATTTTAGGAAACCACCATTTGCTCCTCGTCTTTCGTGACGATTTGTCCCAGGAGTTTGCGCCTGTGCCAAAGCGACAGCTGGAACCGTCCCTTGAGTCCCCGAAAAGGGCCGTGCTGGAGATCGGGGGATCAATGCATGGGGAAAAACCATAGGGCCATCATGGGCCATAGCCCCCCCCAAAAAAAGTAGAAAAGTATAATTTGCCACTATAGTTTGGTGGAATTTTACTGTTCTATCTTCTTGAGCTTCGCTATAATTATATGAAAAAACATCCAAAACATCCGATGTGCTCCATGTTTCTTGAATATTTACCAACAGGTTTCTTGTCATTTTTTGGATTACATAAATGTTGGTAGATATTGCATACATGGAGCATATGGGAATGTGATGCTCGCTTGGTGATTTGGCAAAAATCTGAGGCTCGTCCTTCCCCGGGATTACAAATTTCGTCAGCAACTGGGTTGTACGGCCCCTCAAAACTGTGATCATATTCAGAATATGATAGTATGTATATATGTATCAAGATACCAGTAGTATCCAGTAGTATATAGATGTAGCTGCTGAACTTAAATATGCACATATAGATACAAGTTTTGTATCTATATATATATAACTCGTAGCATGTCCCATGACGTGATATTACGCAATATGACTATGCATAATATACTTGACTTATTGGGATATGATATTATTATATATACAATACATATTGTATGTATATATATATATTGGTGTTTACTCCATTTAAAATTTACTCGCCATCGACTGATGTTGCATTGAAGTGGTTGGTGGTTGCATTTTATTTGATCTCAACAAATAAGATGGTGATGTAAACCAACTCTCAAAATGTCTCGACTCTGGCGTTCAAATTCCCATCGAACCAGAGGTAAACAGTTAACATCTATGATGGGTTTTGCTCTATCGGTGTTTGACATTTAGTCACTAATCTATAGTCTTAACTACACTACGAAATGCCGCCCCCTCAAGAATTTGCATTTGTCTGGAGTTTGGATAGATGCACAGCCACACATTGTTCGCCACTTTTTTCTGCACATGGCATAAACCTGGGATTTCAATCCCGGGCTGTGCCCGGTGAGGAAAAAGTAAGCTTACTGTAAGCGATTAACCAACCTCTATTGGGGGTCATTGTACATGAACCCGGTATAGTGATATGCCCAAGTTCATAGAAGCCTATTGGGGATTATTTGACTATATATAATTATCCCATGTTGTCCCACTATATATCCCATTCTTATCCAATATTTTATCTTAATGTTCCTTTTAAGCTCGGGTTTACCACATTACAGGAAATTTTCAGGAATTTGCAGGGTATGGGATTTATATTGGTTCAGTTATGTCAAATCCCACTTTTCGGTGCTTAAGTACAGTAAGTTGATGTTCCGCTTTGTGTTGATGTCCCATAAATCTGGCTAAATTATAGCGACCTCACTGCGACATCACTGGAATCATGGTTAGGATTGGGGTAACCATCCCAAAGTATCCTTATTTCAGATTAGTGAGTCAGTATGATTTATTCAAACATATGTTTGTTTTTTTTGCGAGAACATATGCATGGTTTTATGAGGACATGTCCGGGAAAGCGCACATGTTTTACGCGCGCGTTCAACCCATCCTTTCCTGCCCCACCTTTCCCAGGCCAACTGTTCTCCAGTCCAGGGCTTAGTTGCATGGGTTCCAGGTGTTTTCGTTGTAGGGCGGGTCGCCTTTAATGTATGAATTTCTTTGAAGAATATGTTTCTAATATGGGGAAGGAGGGAAAAAAGGGCGACAAAAAAAACCTTCAGGTCGTTCAGGTCGATGAGTTGCGAAGCAACATCTTCAACATTGAGACAAAATAAACTGGTTGGTGGTGACTGGAACCATGGAATTTTATGACTTTCCATTCAGTTGGGAATGTCATCATCCCAACCGACGAACTCCATCCCACCAACCAGTAAAGATCTTGCTAAACTTGACTTGTAAGTTGCAAAATCCTGCTGTTCCTCTTCAGTGGATATATTATGATATATTTGGAGATATATATATTTGGTGGAATATGGTGAGCTTATTCCTGATGCTGACCAACCATCCAAACCACTGGTTGTTTTTCCCTCAGAGGCTCCTGTAGTTGTTTTGCAGCAAAGGTAGTTACAATCCAGCGGTTATAGCTCATTATGTTCTAATCACTTATTTAAAAAAAACAAGACAACAACATCTTTAAGTTAGTTTGATTGAGTTCCCCATAATTATTTAGTTGGTGGTTTGGAACATTTTATATGTTTTCCATATATTGGGAATAATCATCCCAACTGACTTTCATATTTTTCAGAGGGGTAGGTCAACCACCAACCAGTGTTTTTTTTGATTTATTTGTTGGTTCAACATGGTAAAACCACTTTGTTTTCCAGCCACATCAGAATTTGCTGCAGGGTATCAGTAGCTTGGCCGTACCTGGGACCTGTCGCTCAGGATGGAGGAACAGGATGAGGAGAACATCTTATCCTCGCAACTTGGACTGCGATCTCCCGAAAATCTCCCGAAAAACTGCTCAGATTGAATCAGTAGATCGATCCTTTAAGATGTACCATGATATCCTCATCACCCATTTCTGAGAACCATTGAACTCCCACTTCCCACCATAGACATCCATATCCCATTATATTCACATGATTCTGTAATCGATATATGGCACACTCATTATATCCTCCCAATCTTTTGTTTAGACATATGTGCAAGGTGAGGCCTCCCAGTTATGATTGCTGGTTATAAACCCATGAACACTATACTTAGATCCCTCAGAAGCCCGCACGTCAACCAAGTTATTTGCGTCACTTTGGCTATCACACATCAGCTTAAAATCCGGAAAACAAAAAAAAACTGGTTGGTGGTTTTAACCATCTTGAAAAATATTAGTCAATGGGAAGGATTATCCCATATATTATGGCAAATAAAAAATGTTTGGAACCACCAACCAGGACACATTTTTTGTTGGTTCCATCGCAATCTGATGGTTTTCTGGTTCGCTTCGGCACTCCAGGCTGGTGGTGGAGGAGTTGATGAAGGGAAGGAGACTATCCGTGATGTTGGTCCAACATCTGATTCCAACTTGCAGGGCTGCAAGGTGAAAGGATCATCCATTTTTTTCAGATACTATAATTTAACCACGTTGAAAGGGGATTGATTCAACATTTTATAACACACATTCCATAATTCCGTTGAAAACATGGACTGAACAAAACAAACATCAACAACAATTGGCAGTTTGAATCGACCGAATAGCGTTTGTATCTTGGTAAGCCAATTAGAGGATGGATGAATGGCTGACAAGGAACTGTCGGAGTGAGTTATTAGACTTGGTCGCAATGCTGTACTTAAAACGACATCACGGAATAACGTCTCCAGAAATGATGCTTTATACAACAGGGATATTAATATATATATATACCAAAATTGCTTGATTTCAGGCTGGTGAAGTGTTGTAATTTCCTGACATACTTCACTTTGTTCAACCCTGCAATCTTCAACAAAAAATCCATTGCTTCCCAGCGAAATGTCAGGGGTGTGTGCTTGGCTTTTGACATTCAAATCTGGCTGGTTTCAAACATACTTCACCCCCATTCTGGAAATATGATCCTTTACCGATCAAGATTTTCTGAGGTGGGTTTGAATTACTGTACATAATCGTACATAATCCACACTTTGGGTTGGGTTAGCTTTTATGAACTCACCAATCGCCACTCCCTCGTTCTCTCGTTCCCTCGTTCCCTCGTTGCAGCTGACCCCAGCAGGACCACCAATTGGCCTCGAGCGAAACGCGCTGCCAAGAGGAACTGGGTTGATGACTTTCATAGCTCAATGGTAAACCATCTCCAAGTTTACCATACCGCTCCATGTATGGTATATTTACCTACATTTGGGTGATTTTTAGGGCAAATGTTGGTAAATATTCCATACATGGAGCATATGGGATAGGTTGATGATATAAACCATAAATTGGTGGTTTACTATTTCTTTACTAACGCTATCCATCACTCATGACTTTTTTTTGGGGGTGCATGGGTGTGTGTGTGTATGCGCGTGTGTGTGGCACTGTGTAACTCTGACCTGCAGCCATCTTCGGATGTTTGGCCACGTGATACAGAACAACTGGGAAAAACCTGTTCAATAGCAAGGTGGGTATTTCCCATTGCAACTGGTCGGGTCCCTATTTCATTTGTTCATTTATGTAATTAGCGAAGATGCGAATGCGAAGACCAGCTTTCACTACTAGCTTCAATAGTGATCATGTTGGACAACTGCGGTGACCACTATTTGTACCTCCAAGAAACAACCTCGAAGAATTATGTGGTGCCTTGTTTTTTTTGTTTTTTTTTTGGGGGGGAAGCAGACCAGTTCCACGAGTTCTATGAAGAAATATGGTGAAGCATGTGTACTACTGGTTGGTGGTTTGGAACATTTTTTTCCATATATTGGGAATGTCATCATCCCAACTGACGAACTCACTCCATCATTTTTCAGAGGGGTAGGTCAACCACCAACCAGACCATCATGTTCCAAAAATTTGGGTTTTTTAACCATCCACAGTTCCAGCACCCCGATGGATTCGCCAGGATTTTAGATCCAACCTACAACCTCAAGTGTCACTGGCGCCCAGATGTTCGAGAGGTATGTTGAGGTCAGGCCAGGCCACTTCAACGCAGAAAGGTTTCATGAAAATAAATCATGTTACATGGCATTAGTAATGTGGTATTTAATGAATATACATATATATATATTATATTATATGTATTGTTGATAGAAGTTCAATTTTCTCCATGAATGTCCCAAATCTCTCAACAAATGAAGGACTTATATGAAAATAGTTTTAACATATTTGATTGTAGGAAATAAGACAAACTATTTGTGTACTTGTTTAAAAACCAAAGAACCAAAGTCTATTTAGCACGATAATTGTTATTTTCTTTGGTCCCACTAATTCCCCACCTGCCAGGTGAGGGTTGTTAGATTTTATGTCAGTTGCCTCCTCCTCCTCCTCCTCCTTCTCCTCCTCCTTCTCCTCCTCCTCCGCCTCCTCCTGCCTCGTCCTCCTCTCCTCCTCCTCCTCGTCCTCCTCGTCGTCCTCGTCGTCCTCGTCGTCCTTGCTCAACTGCGACCCGCGATCCACAGTGTTCTCTGCCGGACCTCCACCACGACCATCCACGCCCAGTGTTCCCTGCCGGACCTCAACCACGACCATCCACGCCCAATGTTCCCTGCCGGACCTCAACCACGACCATCCTCGCCCAGTGTTCCCTGCCGGACCTCAACCACGACCATCCACGCCCAGTGTTCCCTGCCGGACCTCAACCGCGAGTATCCACGCCAAGTGTTCCCTGCCGGACCTCATGTAGGAAGATATGGGACAAAGAATGTGCAGAAGGAAGTTAGAAAGAATGTCAGAAAGAATGTCAGAAGATATGCCAGAAGATATGCCAGAAGATATGCCAGATAGAATGCCAGATAATATGCCAGAAGATATGCCAGATAGAATGACAGATAGAATGCCAGAAGATTTGCCAGATAGAATGCCAGAAAATATGCCAGAAGATATGCCAGATAGATATGCCAGAAGATATGCCAGATAGATATGCCAGAAGAAATGCCAGATAGAATGCCAGAAGATATGTCAGAATATATGCCAGAAGATATGCCAGATAGAATGCCAGATAGAATGCCAGAAGATATGTCAGATAGAATGCCAGAAGATATGCCAGATAGAATGCCAGAAGATTTGCCAGATAGAATGCCAGAAGATATGCCAGAAGATATGCCAGATCATATGCCAGAAGATATGCCAGATAGAATGCCAGATCGAATGCCAGAAAATATGTCAGATAGAATGCCAGAAGATTTGCCAGTAAGAAAATGTATAAATGTCATGGTGGGGATCACACGAAGTAAAGTAATCACTTATGTTTTTGGTGTGGGTTAGTTCACCCCAGTTATAACTGCACTGAACGATTCCTGGGATGGACAAACCCAATTATTCACCTTCAATCACATTCAATGCCATTAAATACTATATCATGTGGTGCCCCCCAATAAGTTGCTTTATAGCTCCATTAACTAGTTCGATATATCGTTATATATACCGTAAGTATCCACAAGTCCTAGCTATTGGAGTTATAAACTACTTAAGCTATCAAACGAGGGCACCACCTTGTATGTTCCATTCTATTTCCAGCAAAATCTATATATTCCCATTATATGTCCATTATATGTCCATTATATATGTCCATTGTATATGTCCATTATATATGTCCATTATATATGTCCATTATATATGTCCATTATATGTCCATAATTATGTTGCCATGAAACCACTGCAATCCCCATTTTCACAGCATCACTGCCATCACTGGGATGAACCAACAGGAACCAACAACAACATTCACCCACACTGCGTCACCCAGGCTTCCACGATGATTGCGTCGCGGCCTTCCCTGAGCTGCTACTCTACACGGCGGGCGGAGGGCGAGGGGTAAACAGCCATGGCACCAGCAAACATGTTGATATTGCTTGCGAACAATGATTGAGTAGTGGGAGATAACTGTAATCACTGTAGTCAATATAGTCTTTAATTATGAGTCTAAATCAACATTCACATCACTGGGGGGCCTCACTTTGTAGCAAACAATGATTCTTTAATGTTTCACATGGTGATTTAGCCAGCAACAATGATTCTCTGACCAGTAAAAGTTGTGATTTACCCAGTCAAACTTGTGGCCCAGCCAAAATTGGATGGTTAACCACCAAAAATGGAGATTTACTCAGCCATTTTTTGGTGATTGAGCCATAGGGATATGGCAAAGTTTTCTGAGTCTACGAACCAGATGGCTACTTTGATCATTTTGATGAGGATACAATAGCCTGACCATCAAAAAGACACATCTCTGTTTGTGGGGTGTTTGACATGAACCATGTTTTGGTCTTGCGAATATAGAGTTTTAATTTGGATACAGTAGAAAATGATAGAAAATGGTGAGATATGGTGGGGTACGGTTTCATTGGGGTATCTGAGAAATGGAATGTGAGGATATAATGGCACATGTTTGATCATCAAGATCTATGAAATTAGATAAGAAAGGGAACAGAACGGACAATAAGAACCCCCGCTATAAAAGAAATTCATCTACCATTTGAATATCCTCTATCATGGATGTCGTCCATGTTACCGCCGTCAGCTTTGTTGAGTATGTCAAACTTCAAACAGGGCACCTCCGAATGTATTGAAACCCATGGGATTGGGGTGTTACCCAATTTTAGGGAAATACACGGATAATAATGCTTGTTACTGCACTGTACCATCTTACATATTTAGAAGGATTACTTACGGTTTGGTGGTATGGTCTGTATTCCTGGTGAGCAAATCTACCCAGCGCAGGGACTTGCAAAGCATGAGGACCAAGTGCTTCCCTCCTTTTGCTGGCTCTGTCACAAGATTCATTCTAAAAAATATGTTTTTTGGGTTACTGTACCATACCCATGTTGTTTGTTCGTAAATATCTCCCGGTCTGTCATTTCTGTAGTTGCATAAACCTCATTGTTTTTGCTGTTCAATATCCTATTCTTGGTTAGTGTCGCATTCATTTTGGTCAATATTAAATCCATCCCCTGCTTCCCTGTTTCTTGTTATTACTCAAAATACTTATATAATCTTATATATATATACTTAAATGTTCTTAATTAATCCTTAGACAGCCTTCCGAAAATCATCTTAAAGACCATTTGTTCTTTGCCAAACCCTCATGTTTGTTCTTTGAATCCTAAATTTGTAGGTTAACATCATTATTGATTGTCGTTCTTTTTATATGGATAGATCCATTTTATCTCAGTATCTTTCCCATGTTTGTTGTCCCTATCCCTCTCAACAGGTAGACGATGGCAGTTTGGCCAGTAGCGGTCGAAGTATGATGGATGAATACCAGCGCACGGCCGGGCGACTAATGGGGGTGAGTAAGATGGGGGTGTCTGAAAATGGGGTATACCCACCAAATGGCTACTAACCATCAAACTTGGGGAGACAAAGGCAGACAATCCCTATATAACATCCCCCAAAATGTGATAAGCTGGGTCAAGCTAGGTTCAACTGAATGAATTGTTTTTTCCTTGGTGGTCCATTTTGGTGGATTTATGAGAATTCTGTATATACGAACCGCCGCAAACATATGACACATATGCCGTTGGTATAGAAGATTTTCCATGGCAATTCATTATGATTTCACCAGCAAGCTGCTCATGGATATGTGATGAGCAAAAATTGTTCACACACCCACATATATATATACATACATACATACATGCATGCATACATGCATGCATGCATGCATACATACATACATACATGCGAATAGAGTGTAGGCTACGGATCAAGTATAATATCACAACTAAACACTCTGTGATCCAGCACCAAAGGGGCAATCCGAACTGGCCTCTTTGGCTCAAGACCCACTGCAGCACTGGAGAAAAGATCAGCAATGCGGAAGCAGCTGCCCGTGTGACGTCGTCGAACTGGAACATTTATCCTCAACATCAACCATTGGAACATAATCGGGTAGGCAATCCCCGATTCGCAGGTTATCAGCCGTAGGACTCCTACGGAGCCTACGAGCGGGGAGCCGCGGGCCTTACAGATGACTGAACAGGATAGCAGCGATAATGCATTTTCTTTCTCTGGACATGCCGTTGCACCAGCTGCCGGCACGCAGTCAAATTCTTCACAGAGTATCGACACTGGTGGAAGCGATGCCTCAGAACTGAGAACAAGCCAACCCAGGCGACATCTGGTTGCTCCTAGAGGGAGACAAATTTCGACAATGCAAGCAATTGAAGATAGGGACAGCACACCTGGAAAGAGAAGATCATCTGCACGACAATTGTCGCCTCCGATGACTCCAAGGACTAAGGCAAAGACTACGTCGTCGAATCCGCCTTCACCGATTCAGGACGCTACTCCATCAGGGACAGGATCTTATCAGCAAGTGAACGCCCCGTCAAGTGGTAGCGACATCTTCACTGCCTATCAGAGTGAATTAGCTGAATACAAAACATCACTGGAAAGGGCCACTGAAGAAGAATCTGTACTTCAGGCAAGATTGAGTGAGACGACAGCATATGCCTATCAACAATTTAATTTCCTGGAAAGCACCACTCATCAAGAGATGATGTCGATGACCGAACAACTCCAGATGCTGAACTTCGAGTTACAGGCTGCACAACAGGAAGATGAAGGTGCGACCTACAGGATCGAAGAGTTGGAAAGGTATCAGACTATGTCGAATGAAGCTGCATCTCATTTGGAATTCAAATATTCACGACTACGTTCGGAATTCGATGAACAAATGGGACAAGCAAACGCAATTATGGTACATGTGGGAACTGACGCGAATGCTCACATCAATCAACTCAGACTGGAACTGGAAAACGCAGAGATGAATGCCAAGCAAGAAGCTCTAGCAGTCGGCTATGCTAATGACCAAACATGTGCTTTGCAGATCGAGATGCTCGAGGTTGCCAATCAGAACCAGACGATGAAGCACACCATGGCCATGAATGTCAGGCGACTGGAAACTGAGTTAGATGCTGCTGACATGAAGAGGGACGAGATCATGAAGGAGTTCCGTAGTAACATAAGATCTGAACATGACCGTTATGCAGAATGTGAACATCACTTAGCTTTGGAAGAATCACAGCTTCGATTACAGGTGATCCACAGTGAGAACTTACAATCTCGACTAGCGATTTCTGAGAACAGGGTTTCTGAAGAATCTCTAGCTGAATCAGGTGGCATGCGGGACATGAGGATAATGGGACTACGTTCTGAACTACACATGAAACAAAGTCTTTTAGATCGAATGCAACAGCAACTGACTGAATCGAAGAATCAGTATCATGAACTTTCCTGTCAACAAGCCAGAAGATCTTCACCAAGCAGATCACCGCATGGAGGACCTCTATACGAGATGTACATGCAAGCCGTGCGTGAACGTGACAGCTTGAAAGAATCCAAGGCCGAAGTTGACAAGTTGTACTTGCAGAATAGATCTGAACTCATTGACACTGAGGACCTGCTCAAAGTCTTCCAGCGAAACTTTGATGAAACTGGTAAGAAATATCAAGATGCTCTGAACAAGATCGATCACATGAGCAACAATCCGAATGTGACGAGTACCTTGTTTGACAGTTTGCACAATGAACTCAATGACAGGGATACAGCTATTGCTCGCCTTCATACTGAACTTGAAGCCCAAAAGGACTCTCTTGAGCGTGCTCACAGGGATGCAGGTAAGTCCATCAAGATGTTGAACGACAGAAGACTCGTGATCAAAGGTGCGACTGACTATTCCATTCCTGAAAGCCATTTGACCGAGATGCATCAATTGGCCAATGAGCGTTACGCTGAGGTAGAAGAAATGTCGAGCACCATTGCTGCCCTGAAGTTGGAAAACCAAGCTCATTCTTCTTCATCAATGAATAGACCGACTACATTACATGGGTACCCCAGTAATGCCATGCCTCGGAATGAATGTGAAGAGAAGTGTGCCAAACTGAAAGCAGAGTTGGACGAGATGAAGCAAGAGAGGAACGCTGAAGTTCGAAATCTTCAAGATGAGTTGAAGAAGATGGAAGATCGTAAAGATTACTATAAGAACAATTTCTCTCAAGCTGAAGATCGTGCCAATGATGAAGAGCAGGAATACCGAGCAGAAGCTGAAGCCTTCGAGAAGCTCAGGAACGAGTACAACACAAATGTCAAGGAGTTGGAGAACCTTGAAAGGGATAGATCCAAGTCATCTGTATCTCTAAGAGAAGCCGAAAAGATCAGCCTCCAACCCTGGCCTAAGACCACTGAACTTTCATCCTGGAAGGGAAGTGTCGTTCATGAAGTTTGCGTTGCAAGTGGAGATCGAAACTATGAAGATTGGAAGGCGTGGTTAGCTCCGTGTCTTGCAGATCAACCTGACTTGGAGGCGCTGGCCAAAGCTCCTGATGTGAGATTCCAATCCATTGATGCCAAGCTCTCCAATGCCTTGAGGAAAGTCATTGACAATGCTGGGGACAAGTCCATGCAAGTGAAGTATGACATGTCCATGAAGAACCAATTGTATGGGAGAAGTGGGGACTTCATCAAGGGACGAGAACTATTTGCAATGATATTGATTAGCTTCAAGTCACCTGACCACACTGAAGTTCTCTACAATGCCCATCATTTGTATATGTTCAACTACTATGGAGATGACCAACTTGAGGCCTTCTACAACAAGTGGCTTGACATCGTATACAATATGAAACATGATGATCTGCCTTCCAACAATTCCCTGCGTGACACATTGTTCCGGAAGATTGAACATTCAAAACTTATGGCCTTCGATATCAACCGATACAAAACCTTTGATGAAGGGCATCATGAGAAGACCTATGCTTACCTAACTGGTATGATCAAGGGATACATAGCACGAGGGAAGCAAGAACGACTGTTGAAAGATAGAGAACGTGCAGTGAAACTGTCATTGTCCTCTAACAAGACGACACCTGCCTTAGAAGATGCAGACAAGCCTGCCGCTCCCGTCAAGACCAAGAAGGAGAATGAAGCGGCTGCATCGTCTACAGGTGATCCTCCCAAACGTCCTAAGGCGAAAGCGAAGAGTGAAGCTGCATCGGTACTTCCTACACCTTCTCCGAAATCCCATGCCGACAAGAACAACAAGAAAGGCAAAGGTGGGAAGGGAAGATCATCTTCACCCGTTGACAAGAAGAAGATTTTCTGTAACTACTTCTTCAATAAAGGAGGATGCAACAAAGGTGACAAATGTCTTTACAGTCATTCTCAGAAGGTCTATGATGCCAAGATGAAAGGTAAGAAAGGCAGAAGCGGAAGTCGAGATTCATCAAGAGGGAAAGGTAGAGGAAGTTCATCTTCAGCTGGACCCAAAAAGAAGGTATGTTGGAATTGGCAAGAAGGTACCTGCAAGTTCGGAAACAAATGTAAATTCCTACATGCAGATAAATCGCCTTCAGCATCCTCAGAGAGAACCAGCAAGAAGACACCAAAGAAGAAGGCGACTCCCATTACCATTGATTCCTTCTTTGATAGCGACAATGAAGATTCCATGGATTATACCTCACCGAGGATAGCCAGTGCAAAGAAGTCTTCTGATGATCGCAGGATCTCATTTGATCTGGAACCTGAGGTGCACGAGATCGCCATTGAGGACTACCAGGAGGGACTACCCAAACGTATGTATCGTGACCCCAACAAGCAATATGTTTTCTGGAAAGTCGATGATTTGACCGACGATCAGTCCAAGTCCGACAACACCCTCGGTTCAGTCCGAGCACGGGCCAAGGCTATCATCATGGACAGATGTGGACTCCATCGTTTTGTTGATGAAGTTAGAATCATTATTGGCCCCAAGTTCGACATGTTGATCAAACTGGACAATGATCGTGATGACTTGACTTTTATTGAAGAGCTTGTTGAACACGAAGTTGGAAACTCCCTCATGAAGTCCAAGAACATAATGTGCATTTCACTACCAGTGCAAGCCAAAGATCGTAGATTCATCCTGGATTCTGGCAGCGGGCATGATCTGATTTCTGCAAGGAAAGCCGAAAGGATGAACTTGAAGCAGCGAACTTGTGATCCTATCATGTTCCACACAGCCAACGGTTCAACTGCTACTCAGACAGAAGCAGAGATTGACCTGGGAACCTTTGATGTGACCTCTCATGCCTATGTACTGGACGACACTCCGTCCGTGATGTCTCTTGGGAAACGATGCATGGAAGAAGGATATTCCTTTGTATGGCCATCTGGTCAAATGCCTTTCATGATTACGAAGAATGGAGAACGCATCGATTTGACAATCCATGACAACATCCCCTACGTTGATCTTGGAACTTACGAATGCACTCCTCATGAATGTCATCATGC